TTTGAATACAACAGTTTGGATTAAGTTATAAAGGAGTAATTTTACGATGTAAAATGATACTTCAAAATATTGCGGAACTAATCCCTCAGAATAGTCCCGAGCTCCAGCCTCCGTGGGTGTAGCGACTAAATCTCAGAGCATGATAACGAATCAAGACTGGTGGACATTGTCGGCGTCTAATGGCTCTTGACGGGTACTTTACTAACCCATGTATGGAGAGACTGGCAAGATTTAGCTACAGCCTTTCTCTTTCTATTTTCCTGTTCTCTCGTACCCATAACGTATTACACAAAAAACTGATTTTGCATCTTCGGGCGTTCATGTGCTCCTACAAATAGAGAATACTACCCGACGCGTTAGCGGACGTGTCTGACAAAAATCGTGAGATCGTTCCCTTGTCATTGTCTTGCTCGTCGTAAACTCCCGTGCAAAACGTACACATTAATACGTAAGCTCGGACATCTGTGCGCTCATTGAAATGTTCTGAATGGCTCGGGCTACTAGAGTGCAGCTGGTTTTATTTTCCCCGTGAATACACTACTGCTTTTTTCATTCTTTGATTTTGTTTAGATATCAGTTTTAAGTTTGAAACTTCAGTTTAACCGAACGCACTCCCTAACTTGGATATTGAGTATCAAAATGTGGACCTTTGGGGCCCGTGGGGGTGCGAACGCACCCCGTGCACCCCCCCTGGTTACGAGCCTGTAATCATGATAGAAACTGAAAAAATTTGAATTCCCTTTTCCATGCGACGTTTTCGTGATTGTCAGCCGTCGTGGTATCTTTTCAAAATTCCCTAATATTTACGCAAGACGTGACCGATGCAAGCTTGAATACCTGTTGTAAACTCAAGCTTGTAGTTCTGGGAAAGCGTCTTCAGTTTTCGGGCAGACAGTATTTTGAAATCAGATGGGGATTTCATATCAAACTGAAAGTTTCCTGACTGCCGGCATTTCTTTGGTGCATGAGCCAGACAAGCCGTGATTGAAACAATAGCCGTCGTGTACGAACTCACGAAAGGAACTCAGGAGAAACTGTTCGCCGATCGATTGGGCACAATAATACAAAGCATTTTTTGTGCCCAATCAGGAGCTGGCATCCGCTTGAATTTTTGGGAATAGTTCGGTGAAAGTCGATACCCAGGGGCTCTTTCGCCCGTACGTGAAAACTTTCGTCGCGCCTTTTCTCCCGACCCGACTGACTGCCCCTGGGTCTCCGAGGATGCAATAATTCCAGCTGGTTGTGTTTTACAGGGGGTAGCTGAAAATTGCACAACCCACCCCTTACACAAGGCTTCAAACCTCATGCCCCCCTCCCCTCCCACCCCTCCTATACTTTTTGGCCAGTCCCTCGCCAACCAAAACATACCACAGAGAAAGTAAGGTGTTTGCCCCACCCGGATGACAAGCTAATTGCCCAAATGTTAAAAGCAAACAAACGATCAACAAAAGCAAAAACAAAATACAAAACTTGTCGGTAACTGAATCCTAAGTGAAGGGTATATCCCAAGATTTCCTCATTTTCACTTCCACAACAGGAAACAAGCAATTTTTACTTACCGGATACACTGAAGTTTACTTGAGTATATGATATTTTAAATTCACGGCCCCATCGTATCTGACCACCGTCGAAGACAAATAGTACTTTAATTCTCTCTTTAAACCAATCATACGTTGCGTTGGCTGTTAAAAGACCACATACACGCCATTTGGGACCATCATAGCCTGAAATAGATCCACCTTGAATTTCCAAATAATTACACGAGCAAGACCATACTCCACTACACCACCACCATTAAAAATCCATGTCTTCAATAGTAAATAAAATTCGTTTTCCTTTTCTTGCCCTGATTTCCCAGCTGCGGCTTTGGTTAATAGAATGATATCTGGGGTAGAAAGGACTGGTGATGACTCCTGAAATCTCATTCAAGGTTGTCTTATTTGGACAGACTGTAAAAGAATATTACACACATCTCTTGGAGTATATTAAAAAAAAGTATTCCAAACATGTTTTTTTCTTATTAACACCTTAATTTCTTGCTAAAGCAGATCTTCTCCTTCCCCCCTCTTCCTTCAATATTTTTAAGAGCACTCATTTACTGTTGTCTCAATATCCCAGAATCCATCTGAAAACGGCTTAGTGTATCTGCTTTAATGAAATACTAAGATAGATCAAGGTTCTATGCTTGATTCATAAGGGGGCTTAATTACAAAATACTTCTTACTGACAAAACATCTTGCTTCCTGCCATCGATTACGAATAGTGCTACAATACTTTTCCTTCCAGCACGAGTTTATGTTATCCCGTATTTCTTGGTAATTTTAAGGTGTGAACCCGCGGTATTTTCGGTAATTTTATCTGTCTTTGTTAACTCTGAGCTTTAAACTTAGCTTCAAATTGGCGGAAGAGACCCCTTTGGCTGACAAAATTGTAATCTCCACGACCGATTATTCTGGAGCATCAGAATTCGTACAAATAAGAGGACAAACTTGACGTTCTAATGCAATATCTTGTTCAGTTTTATCCATCGTGTTCCCTTTGGCATTTCGTTATTCCTCTTTCAGCTGTTTTGCTCTTCTACATTTTCAAGCACTAATTAATTCATTTGCATCTAACAGCGCGTGTACACGTGAGGAAAAAACATGCTCTAAATGGGTGCAAATATGATATGTTTTGCCGCCAAACACTCGAAGTTTGAAGTAGGCGGCTGCTGTCGACTTGATGTTTTTTCGCTCAACAAAATATAATTAATATTCTTTGCAAGAATTTCTGCACGTTAAGAATAATTTCTGGAAGCAAGTGTGCCGTTTCTGAGCGAGAAATATGCCTGAAATTTAAGAAAAATGAAATATTAGCGGAACGCGCTAATCAAAAACGTAAAAACAACTTACCTTTGGCGCGACAGTTTGCTTTACACGTAACGGCTGTCAAACTTCAAGGGCCGGTCATTTATTTAAACCAAGGTTAGACAGCGTTTATGAAAGTCATCGTCTAACCCATGTTTAAATAATAAAAACTGATTGTTTAAACGCTGTTCTTCCGTAACCTTCTTTAGACCGTGTCTAAACATCGATTAAGGAACAACAGAAAGTTAAACCTGCTCACAGGTAGGTTTAAACGTTGTTTAACGGTTTTTTCATCGCCATCCAAAATGAATGAAATTGCCTCAAATCGGGCGGAATACTGTGCACAACAGAGAGTTAAGGGGAAAAGAGACTACCCCAGGGTAAAATGCATGTTCAACAAATTCCACACCATAGGGACAGATTTTACCCTTTGGAGAAATATGATGACGAAGATTTTCGAGTGCTTTTTCGCCTTAAAAAGGACTCGGTAATTGACCTCTCAAAATTTTTGAATGAAGATCTTTCAACAAGAAGACTGGTGTGCCGCTTGCACCGTTGCTGCCATAATTTCATATTGCTTTGAGATTTTATACAACAGGTGTGAACTTTCTAGCAGGTTATCGGCGATTTATTTGGTGCAGTGTATTTGTTGCATTCATAAGGTTTCATGGGCTATCGCGAAACAAAAAAAGAACATTCCTTGTCGTTCCCTGAGAACCTAACATATATTAAGAGAGAGTTTTCGTTTTGGGGGGGCGTTCGAAAATTACTGCGTTACTCCTGACTATCCTTCTTTTCTGTCCTTTTTCGTGACATTTGCTTCTTTCCTGCTAATAACTTCAAGATCACTAGCTAAGAGCTTTTCTTCCACTAGTTTTTCTTGCTTCACGACTTTGCAAATCGTGTTCTTTCTTGAATTGGAGTTTCAGCCGCCTCCGGCATCCTTGGATCTGATTCATTTCCCGTTTGATACCGTGTTTGATTTTGAGAGTTGAATTTTTAAAACCTTTTATTGTCGTATACTTTATTTTTTGCTTCTGGAAATACTCTTCCCAATGCCGCCATTAAAAGTTTTTCTTCTTTGCTAAAATTGGTTTTTCGACCGGATTTAGAGACCATATTGCATCACAACTTCCAGCAAGGAATTAAATGTGCATACAAATAACCCCCACAGACAATGCATTTCCTTTTGAGACATTGTTTAGCCTTTGAATGGAAAAAAACATGGCTTAGTCACGTTTTGATAATGCATTTCAAACATGGTTTAACCGTTGTTTATCGAGACAACGTCTAAATTGCAGCTTGACCTTAAACACGGGTTAACTTAGACTCCGTTTAAATAATCGGCCCCAAATGTCTGGCGGCAAAATACGCCATGTCTGGCACCCTATTAGAAATTGCTTTTTTGTCTGCTGTCCACGCTTAGATGCCACCGACGGTATTTTCTGAGTCAATTTTTTGATCGCCTGTTAAGTACCCAAATTGCCTGATAGTGAGAGATCGATCTAGTTCTATAAAAAGTAATTCTTTTTGTTTGTTTGTTTATGGCTGTGTTTCCCTCCATGTAAGGTCATCCGGATACCGGAATCGGATATTTAAACAATTTGCTTGCGGAATGCGGAATCCTGGGATTTGGAATCTGAGATTCTACTCGAAGAGTCCAGAATCCTACTTATGATTGGAATCCGGAATCTAAGGTCCGGTTGAGTTGCCAAACTTCTCATGAGCCGAACCTAATTCGAATTAAGGCCGACCCAAATTATTTAGACCGGCTGAATTGATTCAGACGCCAAATAGGCTATAATAATTTATACATTAGGTTCGGTACATGAAAATTTCGGCGTCTGAATTAAAGCTGTTCCAAGGCAAAATTCCCGCCCGGGCCAGGCGAAAACAACGGCTGAGCCGTTCCAAATTGAAACAGGTGTTACTAATTAATTCAGACGCCAAACTTTTGATGTACTTGCTTCAATGTATTAGGTTCGGCTCATGGAAAGTTCGGGGTCTGAACGGGGCCTTAATTCCATTGACATCCAGAATCCAGTACTTACAATCCAGAATCCATGGCATGGAATCCCGAATCCAAGACATTCTTGGATTACCATTTATGAGGCGAGTTGTTGTTGATGATGTTTTTTTCGAATCTTAACTCAGTCATGGATGTCTTATAAATAATATATACCACGTACCTGAACTATAAGTGATAGCCATGTAAGTTGCATTAAACCCTGAGTATTGACTGCGCAGAGACGTGAATATAACTTGCATTGAATTCCCCACTGAGTACACTGGATAAGGAAGTTCCTGACCGCACAGCATGAACGGTTGATACTGGCCATCTGAAGCAACATTTGTGACTGTAACACGGGCTTTTTGAGCATTATAATAGCAAGGGATGTACTGATGCGGCTCTAATTGAAAGTCGACGAAGCTGAGTTTAATGATGTACCCGCTGGGAACTGTGATATTCCAGATACATATGCTGTATTGAGGATAGTCACTCGGAAAATTTGGAGTTGAAAAGAATCCACTAAATCCATTAAGATATTCGCCAGATGTACAAGCTGCAACAAGAGGAAATAAACTACAATGGAGGTCAAAAGTGTTGGGACCTTTCCAGTGATATTACTAAAACTAGCGACCCCTCCCCTCCCACCCCAAACAAAGTTGAATTTGGAGCAAAATGGGTGAGAATGAGTGCTTTTTTGGCCACAACATTGCTAGGGGGAGTGGGGAAACGACGGGATGAACCCAAAGCCGAACAAAAAAATTGTCCTTAGGAGCAGGGTTCTACGTAACAATTGCTTGGAAGGGCTTTTTCACACAGTCCCAAGTTCTTTTGTCCTCCATTGTAGCTTTATAATACAAAATCAAAGGGTGATCTGTCTGTGAACGAAAACCAACAACAACAAAAAACTCAATCGAAAGCGTTGCAATAGATAAGCATAAAAAAATAGGAGATTTTCCACCAAACACTTTTAACATCATGCGAATGAAAATTGTTGACATTCCATCGGCATTTTAGTTTGGGGTGTTTTACTCCGTATTTGAATGCTGAATGTTGTCGTTGACAGTTGCTACAAGCCTGTTATAATTAAGGCAATAATATTTTATATAACTTGCTTGAAAATTGATCACCTAATCGCCTGCACAAAAACCTTTAACTTTACGTTTAAAGCCGATTTCTAATAACCTACCGGTGGTTGTTGCATTATATTTCGCCTTCATGTAAATTGCCCTAAATCCACGGTACCCCCGGTAAGTATCACTATCAGAAACAAACGTCACCGTTAGAACATCTTTTGCTGAATGGTATACTATCCCATGGTCTTTATTGTATTTACATCTTCGCCTGCCTGAAATGCCATCAGAGGAAGAGCCATTTTGTATTTCCAGGTAATCACACGTGCAAGATAAACCACAGGACCGAATATTAAGGTCTTCAATGACCAACACAATGCGTTCTCCTTTACTTGCTGTAATTTTCCAGCTGCAATTCTCGTTAGGAGGGTAACGCCTTGGATAGTAAGGACTGGTAAGAACTCCTGATGTCTCATTCAGGGTTGCCATATTGGGACAGACTGCAAGCAATATAAATGGACCGACCGTAAGTATCGAGGACAATTAGAATTATACCACTTTCAAGAACGGATCTACTTAAAGTGAGAAGGAATTAGATCAAAACCAAATGCGGAACGGCAGGATTTAATAATTTAGGGATGCGCCAGAAGCTTTTTAATTCCTGTGTGCATTTGTCTGGAATAACTTTTCTTTAATTATCGAGATTATATTGTGAACAATTCACAAACAATTGACTGCCTTCTTACGATCGATGTTTTTAAGAGTCCGTTCCATAACTCAAACGAACATTTTAGTGGGTATTAGGCGCCTGCGCTTACTTTAACACGAAGATTTGTTCTGTTGTTCAGGTTGTATTTCTTTGCTATGAAAGCCCATGTGAACAACAGCTACATTAGGAAAATTCACAAACAAGTCAACATGAACTATGTGAAATATGTTCGTGGGCACTTGTAAAGATTATTTTTATTTGGTAGAAGCATCCTCGAAAGTTTTCAAGAACAGGCGAGAGAGCCGCTGGAATGCTACTCTTAACGAACCAGTTCCACGACTTATTCGAAGGCTTGTCTGGGATCTGACACAAAAAAGTAATTTTGTGCCCAACAAAAGGCCAGCATCTATCGCGTTGTTTTCGTAATCTTCTTATACGAAGAAGTTTACCTCCAAACTCGACTGTTCACCGTACATGTTTGGCTCTAGCCTGTTCCAGGCGTTCAGATAGTGGGGAGCGGTGCGAAGAAAAAAGGAGCGCGAAAAAATAAAAGCGAGGGAGTGGGGGAGGTGAGAGAGGGAACGCCTGTTAGATTTGTTTTAAATAGACTTATCCGCCCACTCAGACCGCGTCAGCTGTAGGTCAGCCCCATACATTTATTATTTTTCTTAGGAATAAATCAAAATTTCTCACATCAAAATTAATATTATGTGTACATAATCTTACTAAAAACCTAATGTAAGACTTTCAGACAATAGAGAGCGGGATAAGTAATTTATTTACGGCTTTAAAACATGATTTCAGCGTGTACGTGACAAAAAAAATTATGAATTAAGTGAACAAATATCACTCATTTCGATAGGAAGCCGCTTCAATACAGATCGTTAACTCGAGCAATGAAAATGCCCAACAAACGAAGGGAAAATTTACTACTCGATGATTGAGTGGACCTCGTCAATAGCGATAGCTGCAACTTGCTTTCCAAGCTTTCCTTTGAAGTCCTTTTGTCCATTCCTTAGACAACCACGATTTGTGACTGCAATACGCCTTTGAGTGAATTTTTAAGGATCATACAATTTCACAGCTTCCACTTTTAACGGCTTCATCCACATCTTCTCCCATCATTGCCGCCGCTACTCCGATTTTGTTCAAATGTTCCACTTGGTCTTTCATGATGGCAATCAACGGAGTTACCACAACAATCGTAAATGGCATTCTATCCTGCCTTCATTCCAACGCACGCTTTATTCGAGGAAAAAGCTGGAAAATAAGTCTTTTTCCAAAGCCAGTCGGTGAAATTGCGAAGACATCTATCCTGCCGACTACGTGTTTTAAACAGTTCCTTTGCTCTTCGCGTTTAGCCTCCACGTTTGGAAAGTCACTCAGCTCTGTGTTTGTTGCGAGTTCGAATTCTGGACGGGACGTAGAGTCTGTCATCATCGCCATATCGCATTTCTCGCTGTGATCGAAGACGCTCCACTGTTGACAAAAACTGTCAAAATCAACCAATCAGAGGGTATACCAGGATCTGGTATACCGGAACGCACTTTTGTTAAAAATTCTTACAAGCGTTCCCGCACCTCTCTCCCCAGTCCTCCTCTACTTTTCATCGCTATCTTTACTTCGCACCGCTCTCCACTATCTGAACGCTTGGAACAGGCTAGTTTGGCTCTTGCAAGGGAGCTTTCTTCAGCGAAAATGGAGCCCACAAATCCAAGGGCGCTTTCCATTCAACAAAAATTCCAATTTGAAATTTCGGAAATTCACGAGCCCAATGGATCGGTACATTCTGGTTGCACAGACCCGACCCAAGCCACCGCGCATTTGGTTATTGTTCTTGTAACCAGCATACAAGGGAGCAGTACTGGGGACAACAATTTTGTCAAATGGAAAGGAACATTTCGATCCAACCGACCGAAATGACCAGACCGGTGAAAGAAGACCACCTTCAAAGAACACCGCGGCAAAACGTCTACGCATGCGCCAGGTTGAGCATTTCCGGTCACTTTTTCAGTCACACTTTCCAATCAAAGTCCTCCGCGCGCGCTCGGCCTCATTCTGTGTACAGCTTGTGGTGCAGTTGTTCTGCTTTATGCTGCTCGTGTTTTTGACTATTTTGTAGTTATTGAAGTTGCTTTTATGGATAAACAAGGCACCGATCATTGAAACACTTAGTTGATGAGGTTCAAAAAAGGTAAGGTGATAATAACGGGGGCACCCAACGTCAATTTTCGAAAATATCTGTTCGGAAGACGATTCGAGATCTAGAATTTTCGGAACATTTGTTGTAAGATTTCTTGCTTGCCTGCCTCTCCTAGGATTCTCGAACATCTAAAAAATGGAATAATTGCCCCTTTTGAACGGATTTTTAGCCTAAAAAGGTCACCTAGAATTTCGGGAGCCTTTTTTCTGGCTGAAATTTTTGAAAAGGTAGGTTTTGATCCCTATGATTTTCGAATCACTAGACTTTCAGCTAGGAAATCAGAACAGATGAAAAATTTTTAGGGTATAAAAATATGCCTATATGTACTGTTTAAATACTGGAATACGTTTAATAATGCTATGTTTAAGTGGTTTTGAACTATATTCTCGTTGGGTGCTCCTGATAATAACTTGTGTAATTTGGCTAATTTGAGCGTCAGGTAAACTGATTTTCTTTCACGAAAACAAAGTTTTTGACTGCCATTTTTCACTTAACCTGGCTGAAACTAGGACATAAAAAGTTATCATTGCAAACTTATGTATTGTTGTTCTAATTTTCGGTTTCTCAATTTCTCAGTCTTAGTGTCTTAAACACCGCTTCGAGCTTTTTTGACTTCATCTGAAATACGACAACACACAATGGCTTTGTAGTTTTATTTACCAGTGAGTTCGTTTTTTTTTTTTTTTTTGAAATGAAGCTCTTCTGAGTAGATTGCCATGAAACACCTTAAGCTTAATTATACTGTTGAGGTTGGCAGCAAGTTGACAACTCTATTTATTTAATTAAATTTTTCATTCTCAAAATCAGAGAGCCAAAGCTGGTTTGATGGCTTTTAGAGGTCGAAATTTTCATGCCATTTATTTAGCAGCTGGAAGTTTCGTGTTCGCAGAGCCGTACAGTCTGAAATTATTGAAGTCTTCAACCAAAGAACAACCAAGTAAAAGAATTAATAAGAAATAAAATAAGCATTTTTTTGATTGAAAGTACGTTTTTAGCATGTTTAGTTTCCCGGCCAAGATCATTCAATAGACCGAAAGCGCCGGGTATTCGTGACGGCAGTCATCAAAGTCGAGGTTGTTATTAAAGCCCGCCCATCTTTTTTTTTTTTAGTTCTTGTTTTCTCTGATTGAACGGACTAAACTTTTATTTCCTGTTTCTAGTGTTAATGATAATAATGACGTCTTTTTTGGGGTTTTTTTTTCATAAGTATTGCTATTCTTTTCTTAGTTATCGCCTTCTCTGCGAAATTAACTTATGTCAAACAAGTAGCATGCAAAATGCAAGAAACGCGGTAAAAACAAATTCGTCATGTCGAGCGCTAGCGACGTACAAACTTCAAACATCATTTTGAACGGGTCAGCACTCGTTAACATCCGTCGAAAGGCCCTCTTATCTTCTGTCGGATTTCGTAAACGTATGACGTCACGTTCGCCTCGAGGTTCCCCCTGTGACTCATGTAAGCTTCGCTTCGATCGTCCACTCTGATTTGTCTGATGATTTTATACTTGTTTCGAGGTCTTGTCTTGCTTTTTCGATCATCTCTCGATTGATTCAACCAAGAAGATGCCACTGCATCTTTTTGGAAAGGATGCTTTAATGTTTTGCCTCGATCAAGCCTCTTAGCGCATCAATAAGGTCCTTTCAGCGGATGTTATTGACTAACATCCCTTGAATGTCCCCGGATCGAATGGCATTCATGAAGAAATTACAAGAACAAGCAAATAAAACTCAAATGAACCGCTGCCCCATTTAACAACTTTTTCAAATATTGGCGGGAATATAAAAAATAGAAAATCATCCATGTATGTAATGTCTGTCTCTGTCGAATAATAATGAATGCTTGCAGCAACCACAACAAGCCCCAACAACAACAACTTTATTTGTACTCAACTGTACCCTACATGATTTACATGATAGAGAGAGTACAGGCTGCCCATAATAACCGTTGAGGGCTAAAAAGATAGGGCAGCCTCACTTAGTTTATTAATAAATGATTATATTAAAGGTCAGGTACTGCACACGACACACAGCTACACAAAACATTCACACACACAAAAAAAAACGAGTAGAAAAAGAAACTCAAGACAGCAAAAGCAAGCTAAGTATACCAGTATTAAACAACAGAAAGCCATTCTTGCACTAAGTTGTCTGATGATTTATATTCTGTTTCATCCGCTGAAGAAGCACAAAGCTAATCGAAGATTTTGAGACTCGCAATACTCGTAATTTCCTTCTACAAGGACTACAAGGCAAGCAAAGGCTTAAGAGGCACAGGTGAGTAGTAGCCATATTATTATAAAGTGGCGGATCCAGACCTTCAGATAAGGGGGGGGACCCGGTCATCCAGACCCTGAGACAAGGGGGGGTGACCCGGTCTCCAAAAATTTTTTTTCGGCCCTTCGGGCGTGGCCTCCGTTTGGTCTAAAAATAGGAGGGGGACTCGGGCCTCCCAGGCTCCTCCCCTAGATCCGCTAGTGTTATATACAAAGTGGGCCGTTGACCATAGCTCTACTCCAGTTTCCCAAAATGTCATTTCCTTAGTTCGTTGGCACAAGCAAACCTCTTTGAGATCTTAACAGTGTCCATAGAATCCGCAATGGACAGTTGGCCGGGTATGCATCAGTAGGCAGTTGTTCAAACAAAGGCTAAAACAATCCAGCTTCATGGTGCTTCTTGAGACGTCGGAGGATAGAAAACGTGCACCCTGGATGCTACAACTGGTTTTCAATAAAATCTTAACATTTGCACTTGACCAATTTTGGGTTGAGAAACATGGCTGCGGTGGTGGTAGGGAAGGGTGCTATTTATATAAAGGCAATTCCCTTTCAAGCAAACAGCTATGACTGTGGCTCAGTTTGTCTGCATGGTAAGCAAATTTTGCATAGTACAATTTGTAATAGCAATGACTATAACATTTTACAGTGAAACCTCTATTAAGCGGACCCCCAGTTTAGCGGACACTAAGCCGGGTCCCGAAACGGACGTCTGATATTTCCCTTTATAACAAACCCCTATTCAGCGGACACCTCTAAAATAATTTGTATTTGGCTAATTTCTATTGTTAGAAACCTCTAGTAAGCAGACACTGGACTGAATTGACGATAGTAGTATTGGATTACGTCCTTGAAATACGTACTAAAGTCAGTTAATGTTTTTGCATTTACAGACAAATTAAAGTTGGTAATGAAAGGTAATGAAATTGAACTCACGATAGCTTCTTTAACAACAAGCAACTTTTTCACACAGCACAGAGTAACCGTTAAATGTTGATCGTTAACAAACATTGTGCAATTTTTAAAACCTCTATTAAGCAGACACTTGGGAAGGTCCCGAAGGTGCCTGCTTAATACAGGTTTCACTGTAATTGATAAAATAATAATGTAATGATAGTAATGATTATAATTATTATAATTTACATTGTTAGACAAAGAAATATTTTTAAACTTTCAGTATTCTGAACATCACTCATGTTCTTAAACTACTGTTGTAAATGGTAGCATTAACATGTATGACATTTAGTTTGCACAGAACTTGAGCAGGGGAAAAAATCCCTATTTCCATCAGGTACTGTACAGAACTTCCGTTAACCGACACCTCCTATAAGCTTACATGCACTTCTTACTAACAGACACGAATCTGGGTTCACAGCAATTAATTTCCATCTTAAAAATCTGCATTAACCCAAACTATTGTAAGTAAAGACATCTTTTCTTGGTAACAAACATCCATATAGATCGGTCAAATCAGACCTAAAATTCTTTGCAGAATAGTTGCCCACATGATAGATCATAGCTATAGCAAATACTCCTCTCTCTATGGCAGTGGCGGATCTAGGGGAGGTGTCCGGGGGGCTCGGGCCCTCCTTATTTTTAGACTAAACTCAGGCCCGAGGGACCGAAAAATATCTTTTTGGAGACCGCCTGGTCCTCCCTTATCTCAGGGTCAGGGTCTAAATAAGAAAACAAATTAACATATAGAGGAAGAAAGGAGGATTGAGAGTGCACCAGAAATCAACCCACCAGTCAAATCACACAGCCAATAATGCACAAGAAAACTGAAGGGAAGTTCATTGATGATCAAACAAGGAAAAACAGTCTTACTTTTGTATAATTACTTTTCCATGTTTGTTTTTGCTTCATGAAATTAAATAGCATCTGCTCTACTTGATCAAATGACAGAGCATTTTCTTTTTTTCAAGAATGACATGCCTTTACTGTAAAAGAAGTTGAAGGAACAATTACAGCAGAAGAGGCTTTAAAGTACACTTATAAACTAATGTTCAAACAAGACCTCAAAGAAAACAGAGAGTGGGGATTATTTACAGAGAGGGAAGGGCTAATGCAGATGGGAAGATACTATTTCCAAATTCTTTGGACCCTCCCCTTTCAGTTTTTACAGGACACATTTTTGACGAAACAATTGGAAGCCAATTCAAAACTCTGAGGGGTTACTTAAGTTAAATTAAAAATATTGATTCCACCATTCATTCATTGATGTACTGTTAAAGAAACGTATTTAAAAAATCTTGAACAAATCCATTGACCTGATAGGCAACCTTTCCCAACAAATAACTTGCAGATATCATGTAGATGAAGACTTCATAGTATCAATGACTTCGAACCAAAACGCACAGTTTAAGCCCATTTTCATTTGCAACCTTAATTAAAAAGCATGAAATAAGTAAGCCTAAATAAATAAATAAATAAATCTGACAGAATTTATTTAAACATGGCTTCCGTGAGTGTCTACAGGTCCTATGCTAAGTGTGTCCTTGGTTCCAAGACTTTCATCCTCCCCACCCAGGGCAATGGGTGACTGTCTGTGCCTCCCACTGAGCTCTGCAGTTAACAACAACAACAACAACAAAAACAACAACAAAACTTTATTAATAAACAAATAAACTTACAGGAGTATTGCCCGAAGCTAGCAAGGCTATTCAAGGCGGGACAATGCGTGCAAAATATAAAAATAGAGACTAAGGCTATTAACATTATCATTCTCAGCAGAGGCCTGCTTCAGCTCAGTGGCTAGGGCAAATTAAGAACAGGGTACTTGCCAGTCAAAGCCTCTAGTGTACACAGCTGCTTACTGAAGGGGTTGTGTCAAAAATAGCCCCCTCCCTACTCCACTAATTTTGGCCCCCTGGCCTGATCCACCCACCCACGGTTAGGGCAGTCCCTGGGCTACCCAGCTAAACCGACCAAGAAGGCAAGCCCCCTACCTTTTTGGACACTGGACTGGCCTGGTGCTGGGCTGTGCCCGGTGCCAGGCGAAACCCTAGTGACCAGTCATTTTAACAACCAAATCAGACAGAAATATTATTAAATAATATTATTATTACCGCCTCACATTTTGCGCATTATCTTGACCTTATATGGTAAAATGACATAATAGTGGGATAATAAATAACAATATTGATCCTTCTCCTCAAGTGTGAAATACAAGTACGCGATTTTTACACTGTATATGCACATGTATGCAATAAGGAAAGTGATGATGTATAATTGTCACCTAGATACACAGCCTGGTGATCTAGGGCCATTCAAAGGTTGTTATTCAGTAGCATCCACTGAAAGGTCCTTTTCCCGGCGGAGTAAGAAGAGGCTTGAAACATCAAAACATCCTTTAAACGGGGGCAGTGGCATCGTCTTGTTTGAATTGATTGGAATCAATCGAGGAATGATCGAAAAAGCGGGAAAAAACCTTGGATATAGACGATTGAAGTGCAGATGAATCAGCATATTCAACTTGGAGGCGAGCGTGACGTCATACGTTTACGAAATCCGACCGAAGATAAGAGCGACTTTCGACGGATGTTAACGAGTGCTGACTTTTTCACCGTTGGTGCAACCAGATAACCATGTGGTACAAAAGTTTGACACTAGAAAAATATGTAAGCTATCGAATGAAGTGAGTTTTTTCGCCAGCTTTTTGCTTTTAAACTTGGCGCGACGGCAAAGTTATGCTTACGAAATTGGTTTATATACTACATCGGGAATAAAAAGCTGACCAGATGTTAAATTTTGTGCTCATACGCAGTGCGTTTTGCCGCGGAGTTCCTTCAAAGCTGGTCCCGAATGTTCCGCTCAGACCAAACCAAAATGGTACTTTCCATTTGATGTACCAACCGAAAATTTCGGAATTTTGAGTTGAATGGAAAGCGCCTGAAAGAAATTCTCAATACTCGTTGTATGGATGTGAGATTTTTAAGTTTAAAATAGGGACTTTACGATCCGACGAGGCGATGGCAGCAAAAACGTCACTTAAAAAGTGAATTTACGTTCTTTTAGCCTTTATTGCGATTATTCCTACCCATTTTCTTTATCAAAAGTAAGCGAATCCCCCTGGAGTTGAACTGCTAGGATCCCTTTCCAAGTTCCAAAAGAGAAATAAATTTTGGTCGTTCCTTGTTTACGTCCACAATAAAAAGAAATGTAGAAAAAAGTGTGATGCACGTGCAAAGTTGTTGTTTGCCTTGTAAACCTATTGCTTTTTTGACGACGTCCTCGTTGTCATCGCGTCATCGGAGCATAAGGTACCTAATAACTAACATGGCGGACTTACTTGAGGGAACATTCCTCTTGCTGGCTTCAGTGAAGAAGAGATATAGAAAAATTGACCGTTGTTTAACTAAAGTTTTGGTTAAAATGCCGCCGTATAAATCGAAATGGTAATAAGAAAGAACTGTTGGAAAGGTAGGCGTACATCATCAGGTTTTGCGCGATCGATCAGCTGTTTATGCTGTTTATTCTCAACTACAAGATTACATAGAAGTTTAGACACATGTTTTCATACAAAATGTTCTTCTCAGGGTTAAGAACCTGCAAGCAATAAAAATCTAAAAATATATGACAATGACCCAGAGAGGCTCTTCACTATATGTAAAGCAAAGTTAGCGAGACAGATTGAAGAACTGAGGGAAAATGGGGAAACGGCGTGTGATGATTCAAATCATTCTAGATACAGATTATCTTGTTGTAGAAAGAAATAAGTATGGATTTTACGCCGGTTTGGTCTAAAAACGGTTATAGACTTTGCCCATTTTGGTCTGGAATCGGGTATAGTTTTCGAGGGAGCTACGGTGGTGTATGAACATATTTATCGATTGGTTCCAAATGAATAAGAAAAATATATATATATGCGAATTCAAAATCAATTTTGAGAAATCTCATTGTTGGCGTTCTAATCATGCCATTCTAACCATACTCCACTGCACCACCAAGAAAAATCCATGCCTTAAATAGTACTAGAATACTTATCCAGCACGAGATTATGTTATCCCGTATATCTTGGTTATTTTAAGGCTTTAAGCCACGGTATTTTCGATAATTTGATCTTTCTTTGTTGACTCTTAGCCTTGAAAGAGACCTCTTAGGCGGACAAAATTGTCATCTCCGCCACGTAGCAACTTATGATTCTCGAGAGCATCAGACTTGCGTACAATGTAAAGACGACAAACTTGAAATACACGTGTTCTTTAAATATACCTAAATGTAATATCTTGTTCAGTTTTACCGATCCAATAATGTTCCTCTTTTGCTCTTTTACATTTTCAAGCAGTAATAGGTCAATAATTTCGGAGTCGATTCTTTTGGTCTCCTGTTAAGTATAATGTATACCACGTACCTGAACTATAAGTGATAGCCGTGTAAGTTGCATTAAACCCTGAGTATTGACTGCTCAGAGACGTGAATATGACTTGAACGGAATTCCCCACAGAGTACACTGGATCTGGAAGTTGTTGACCGCACAGCATGAACGACTGATACCCATCATCTGAAGTAACATTTGTGACTGTAACACGGGCTCCTGGAGCATTATTATAGCAGGAACTGTACTGATCTGGCTCCAATCGAAAGTAGAGGAAGCTGAGTTTAATTATGTACCCGCTGGGAACTGTGATATTCCAGATACATCTGCTGTACTGAGGATAGTTATTTGGAAAATTTGGAGTTGAAAAGAATCCACTAAATCCATTAAGGTATTCGCCAGAGGTACAAGCTTCAAGAAGAGGAAACAAACTATGATTAAGGTTTATAATACAAAATCAAAGAGTAATCTGTCTGAAACAAAGGAAAAGACAAAGCAAAACAAAAAGCAAATCGAAACTTTTGCAATAGACAATTATAAAAAAATAAGAGATTTTCGAATATGCGAATGAAAATTGTTGGCATTTGATCGGCAATTTAGTGTGGAATGTTTTCCTCCTAAAGTATTTGAATATTACGGTTACTATAAGCCTGTTATAAGGCAATGATATTTCATATAACTTGGTTGAAAGTTGATCATCTTATCGCCTGCACTTAAACCTTGAACTTATCGTTTAAAGCCGATTTCTTAATAACTTACCGGTGGTTGGTGCATTATATTTCACTTTAATGTAAGTTGCCTTAAATCCACGATACCCCCAGTGAGTACCACTATCAGAAACAAACGTCAGCCTCAGGACATCTTTTGCGGAATGGTATACTATCCCACGGTCTTCATTTCTACATCTTCGCCTGCCTGAAATGCCATCAGAGGAAGAGCCATTTTGTATTTTCAGATAATTACACGTGCAAGATGAACCACAGGACCGCATATTAAGGTCTTCAATAACCAACACAATCCGTTGTCCTTTACTTGCTGTAATTTTTCAGCTGCATTTCTCGTTAGAAGGGTAACCTCTTGGATAATAAGGACTGGTAAGAACTCCTGATGTCTCATTCAGGGTTGCCATATTGGGACAGACTGCAAGCAATATAAATGGACCGGACAATTAGAATTGTTAGATTCCTAGACTTTTACTCAACTAAACAGGGACTGTCATTGGTTGATTCTTGGTCACGTGGCCTTGACTAAAATCAAATGTATCCCGATTGTAATACATTAAACAATGTACCCCGCTCGGGATACATTGCAGCACGTGATCAAAGCGTGGTGGAAAGTGGCGTGACAGAAGGCGGGAAAAACACCGCAAGGTCCTGCCAGTTTTCTTTTTCGTGAATGAACACAACAACACAATCACGAAGCCTCAAGCTAAAAAGCAACGATTGTCAAAGTTATCCCAGAAGTTCCCAGAAGAAAAACAGAAGCTAGTGGAGGAAAAAGATGCAGATAATATGAGTAAAGTACTTTTGTTTGTAAATCATTCATTCAGTGGTTTTGACAATTAAATTTGTGTTGTTATAAGTACCGAGTCGACTGTTTTGGTTCCGGTTATTCTTTTGTTCCTGTTGAAGTGAAAGTCTAGAAATATAACAAAACACTTAATGTCAGGTCCCTCGGGAAACCAGTTTAGTTTTGTTTTCCCTCGAGTCCTGATGTTTCCCTCGACTTCTTCTCGGGAAACATCAGGAATCTCGGGAAAACAAAACTAACTGTTTCCCTTGGGATGTGACATTAAGTGTATATTATACCACTTTCAAGAAAGAATCTAGTTAACGTGAGAAGAAATTAGAGCAAAACAAATGCGGGACGGAAGGGTTTAATATTTTAGGGATGCGCCAGAAGCTTTTTTTGGTTTGTGTCTGGAATAACCTTCTTGAAATGATCGAGATTATATTGTGAACAAATCACAAACGATTGACTGCCTTCTTACCATCGATGTTTTCAAGAGTGACCGTTCCATAACTCAAACGAACATTTTAGTAGGTATTAGGCGCCTGCGCTTACTTTAACACGAGGATTTGTTCTGTTGTTCAGGTTGCCTTTCTTTGCTATGAAAGCCCATGTGAATAACAGCTACATTAGGAAAATTCACAAATAACTCAACATGAACTATGAGAAATATGTTCGTGGGCACTTGTAAGAATTATTTTTATTACTTTGGTAGAAGCATCCTCGGAGACCCAGTGTCGGTCAGTTGAGTCAGGAAAAACGGCGGCAAAAGTTTTCAAGAACGGGCGAGAGAGCCTCTGGAATGCTACTCTTAACGAACCAGTTCCACGACTTATTCGAAGGCTTGTCTGGATTTGACACAAAACAATAATTTTGTGCCCAACAAGAGGCCAGCATCTATCGCGTTGCTGTCGTAATCTTCTTATACGAAGACGTTTACCTCCAAACTTGACTGTTCACCGTACATGTTTGGCTCTTGCAAGGGAGCTTTCTTCCCCGTAAATGGAGCCCAGAAAACCAAGGGCGCTATCCATTTAACAAAAATTCCGATTTGAAATTTCGGAAATATACGAACCCAATGGATCGGTACATTCCGGTTGCATAGACCCGACCCAAGCCACCGCGCGTTTGGTTATTGTTCTTGTAACCAGGATACAGGGGAGCAGTACTGGGAACAACAATTTTGTCAAATGGAAAGAGACATTTCGGTCCTAACGACCAAAATGACCAGACCGGTTAAAGAGGACCACCTTCAAATCTGATCCCGAATGTTTCGGTCAGACCAAATCAAAACGGTCTGTTCCATTTGATGTGTAAACCGAAAATTTCGAAATTTTGGGTTGAATGGAAAGCGCCTCAAAGAAATTCTTTTATACTCGGATTTCAGAAAAAAAAAAAAAACGGAAGTTGTATCAATGTGAAATTTTTAAATTTAAAATAGGGACTTTACGATCCGACGAGGCGATGGCAACAAAAACGTCACTTAAAAAGTGAATTTACGTTCTTTCAGCCTTCATTGCGATTATTCCTACCCATTTTCTTTATCAAAAGTAAGCGAATCCCCCTGGAGTTGAACTGCTAGGATCCCTTTCCAAGTTCTAAAAGAGAAATAAATTTTGGTCGTTGCTTGTTTACGCCCTCAATAAAAAGAAATGTAGAAAAATTAAAGTGTGATGCACGTGCAAAGTTGTTGTTTTGCCTTGTAAACCTATTGCTTTTTTGACGACGTCCTCGTTGTCATCGCGTCATCGGAGCGTAAGGTACCTATAACTTACATGGCGGACTTACTTGAGGGAACATTCCTCTTGCCTGGCTTCAGTGAAGAAGAGATATAGAAAAATTGATCGTTGCTCAACTAACGTTTTGGGTAAAATGCCGCCGTATAAATCAAAATGGTAATAAGAAAGAACTGTTGGAAAGGTAGGTGTACATCATCAGGTTTTGCGCGATCGATCAGCTGTTTATGCTGTTTATTCTCAACTACAAGATTACATAGAAGTTTAGACACATGTTTTCATGCAAATTTTCTTCTCAGGGTTAAGAACCTGCAAGCAATAAAAATCTAAAAATATATGACAATGACCCGGAGAGGTTCTTCACTATGTAAAGCAAAGGTAGCGAGACAGATTGAAGAACTGAGGGAAAATGAGGAAACGGCGGGTGATGATTCAAATCATTCTAGATACAGATTATCTTGTTGTAGAAAGAAATAGGTATGGTTTTTGCGCCGTTTTTGTCTAAAAACGGTTATAGACTTTGCCCATTTTGGTCTGGCATCGGGTATAGTTTTCGAGGGAGCTACGGTGGTGTATGAACATATTTATCGATTGGTTCCAAATGAATAAGAAAAATATATATATATGCGAATTCAAAATCAATTTTGAGAAATCACATTGTTGGCGTTCTAAACATACCATTTTAACCATACTCCACTGCACCACCAAGAAAAATCCATGCCTTAAATAGTACTAGAATACTTATCCAGCACGAGATTATGTTATCCCGTATATCTTGGTTATTTTAAGGCTTTAAGCCACGGTATTTTCGATAATTTGATCTTTCTTTGTTGACTCTTAGCCTTGAAAGAGACCTCTTAGGCGGACAAAATTGTCATCTCCGCCACGTAGCAACTTATGATTCTCGAGAGCATCAGACTTGCGGACAATGTAAAGACGACAAATTTTAAATACACGTGTTCTTTAAATATACCTGAATGTAATATCTTGTTCAGTTTTACCGATCCAATAGTGTTCCTCTTTTGCTCTTTTACATTTTCAAGCAGTAATAGGTCAATAATTTCGGACTCGATTCTTTTGGTCGCCTGTTAAGTACCGACATTGTCTGATAGTGTGAGATCGATCTAACTTCATATCATAAAAAGTAATTGTTTTTGTTTTTATAATGTATACCACGTACCTGAACTATAAGTGATAGCCATGTAAGTTGTATTAAACCCTGAGTATTGACTGCTCAGAGACGTGAATATGACTTGAACGGAATTCCCCACAGAGTACACTGGATCTGGAAGTTGTTGACCGCACAGCATGAACGACTGATACCCATCATCTGAAGTAACATTTGTGACTGTAACACGGGCTCCTGGAGCATTATATTAGCAGGAACTGTACTGATCTGGCTCCAATCGAAAGTAGAGGAAGCTGAGTTTAATTATGTACCCGCTGGGAACTGTGATATTCCAGATACATCTGCTGTACTGAGGATAGTTATTTGGAAAATTTGGAGTTGAAAAGAATCCACTAAATCCATTAAGGTATTCGCCAGAGGTACAAGCTTCAAGAAGAGGAAATAAACTATGATTTAGCTTATAATACAAAATCAAAGAGTAATCTGTCTGAAACAAAAAAAAAGACAAAGCAACACAAAAAACCAAATCGAAAGCTTTGCAACAGATAATTATAAAAAAAAGAGGAGATTTTCCACCAAACCTCGGGCCTTTTAAGATCATGCGAATGAAAATTGTTGGCATTTGATCGGCATTTTATTGTGCAATGTTTTCCTCCGTAAAGTATTTGAATATTACAGTTACTATAAGCCTGTTATAAGGCAATAATATTTCATATAACTTGGTTGAAAGTTGATCACGTGATCGCCTGCACATAACCTTTTAACTTTGCGTTTCAAGCCGATTTCAAATAACTTACCGGTGGTTGGTGCATTATATTTCACTTTAATGTAAGTTGCCTTAAATCCCCGGTAGTACCCATAAGTACCACTATCAGAAACAAATGTCAACCTCAGGACATCTTTTGCGGAATGGTATACTATCCCACGGTCTTTATATCTACATCTTCGTCTGCTTGAAATGCCATCAGAGGAAGAGCCATCTTGTATTTCTAGGTAATCACACGTGCAAGATGAACCACAGGACCGAATATTAAGGTCTTCAATAACCAACACAATCCGTTGTCCTTTACTTGCTGTAATTTTCCAGCTGCATTTCTCGTTAGAAGGGTAACGCCTTGGATAATAAGGACTGGTAAGAACTCCTGATGTCTCATTTAGGGTTGCCATTTTGGGACAGACTGCAAGCCATATAAATGGACTGAGCGTAAGTATCGAGGACGATTAGAATTATACCACTTTCAAGTAAGAATCTAGTTAACGTGAGAAGAAATTAGATCAAAATTAAATGCGGGACAGAAGGATTTAATAATTTAGGGATGAGCCAGAAGCTTTTTTGGTTTGTGTCTGGAATAACCTTTTTTTAAAATGATCGAGATTATATTGTGAACAAATCACAAACGATTGACTGCCTTCTTACGATAGATGTTTTCTAGAGTGACCGTTCCATAACTCAAACGAACATTTTAGTAGGTATTAGGTGCCTGCGCTTACTTTAACAAGAAGATTTGTTCTGTTGTTCAGGTTGCCTTTCTTTGCTATGAAACCCCATGTGAACAACAGCTACATTAGTAAAATTCACAAACAACTCAACTTGAACCGTGAGAAATATGTTCGTGGGCACTTGTAAAAATTATTTTCATTTACTACTTTGATAGAAGCATCCTCGGAGACCCAGTGTCGGTCAGCTGAGTTAGGAAAAACGGCGGCAAAAGTTTTCAAGAACGGGCGAGAGAGCCTCTGGAATGCTACTCTTAACGAACCAGTTCCACGACTTATTCGAAGGCTTGTCTGTGATTTGGCACAAAACAATAATTTTGTGCCCAACAAGAGGCCAGCATCTATCGCGTTGCTGTCGTAATCTTCTTATACGAAGACGTTTACCTCCAAACTCTACTGTTCACCGTATATGTTTGGCTCTTGGAAGTGAGCTTTCTTCTGCGAAAATGGAGCCCAAAAAACCAAGCGCGCTTTCCATTCAACAAAAATTCCGATTTGAAATTTCGGAAATATACGAACCCAATGGATCGGTACATTCCGGTTGCATAGACCCGACCCAAGCCACCGCGCGTTTGGTTATTGTTCTTGTAACCAGGATACAGGGGAGCAGTACTGGGAACAACAATTTTGTCAAATGGAAAGGGACATTTCGGTCCTAACGACCGAAATGATCAAACCGGTGAAAGAGGACCACCTTCAAAGCTGGTCCCGAATGTTTCGGTCAGACCAAATCAAAACGGTCTATTCCATGTTGTACCAACCGAAAATTTCGGAATTTTGGGTTGAAAGGAAAGCGCCTCAAAGAAATTGTTTAATACTCGGATTTCAGAAAAGAAAATGGGAAGTTGTATGAGTAGGAGTCTACTATGTTGGAAATTAACCCCCTTTGGTGCGTTCCCTTTGCGTTCCGTGTGCGTTCCCCTAATTAATAGGCATATGGGTCGAGTCTATGACGTCACCCATTGTTATAACCTAGGGAATAAATGCGGTCCTTCATATTAATTAAGTGCCTAGTCAGTGTCTTCCTGCATACTAATTCGGTATAGGTTTACTAATAAGCGTCACTCTACTACAATAGGAACAATAGGCTTGCCTAGACTAGCCCGTTAAGTAACTTGAGCCCGGTTTTTGGACCGTCTATTAAAAGGAAAATAAGAGCGATCACCTAGCAACGCGAGAAACGGCTTGCTATATCTTATTTAGCGCTAAACCTCAGACATATAAACAAAACACACGCACATATACACAAAGGGGAGCTAAAAACGCTTTATTTCAAGTTTGTCTGACTATTACAGAACCGTTTTCTCCCATCTATTCCGAGGAAATGAAAGTCGTGTCATTTTCACGCACGGTTAATCAGTTAATTATGCGAGTTCACAAGCCCAAAGTTGAATACAAATTAGCTCTACAGGAAAAACCTCAAGGGAGTAACCTTGACGTATTATTATAAAACAAATAACTTAACAAGGATCAATTAAAACACGCGACTCATAATTGCTAGCAATAAAACCAGACACGAGATACCGATTTGAAACAAAAAGAGTCAAATATACAGCGATTTGAAAGAAATCTATTAAAATAGTCAAAAGAAAGCAAACCATCCTTTTTTTTACACTGCGCACAATGTTTTACCTACCCCTCTCCCTTTTCAATTTTATTTCCTTTGTCAATTTGTTCTTTTTTCCTTCTCCACAATTTTATTATTTTCCCTCCTCCACCAATTTTTATTATCAGTCCCTCCTCAATGTTTTTTATGCCCCTCCTCCACCTCCACCTCCACCTCCTCATTTATTCTATATATTTTTCCATCCACAAATACATCGACCTCCTAGCGACTCTACATCAACCCCACATCGACCCCACATCGAGCCCACATCGACCCTACATCGACCACTCATCGACCCCACATCGACCCTACACTCAACTCTTTTTTCTTTTTAACACTGCTTCGTAAATAGTGAAACTATATACCACCACCGCCACATTTCTATTGTTTTCCCTCCACCACCACCACCGCCACATTTCTATTGTTTTCTCTCCACCACCACCACCGCCACCACATTTCTATTGTTTCCCCTCCACCACCACCGCCACACTTCTATTGTTTTCCCTCCACCACCACCACCGCCACATTTCTATTGTTTCTCTCCACCACCACCACCACATTTCTATTGTTTTCTCTCCACCACCACCACTGCCACATTTCTATTGTTTCCCCTCCACCACCACCGCCACATTTCTATTGTTTTCCCTCCTTCTCCTTCTCCTCCACCCCCTCCACCCTCCCCCCCCCCTTCTCACTTCTATTCTTTTCCGTCCAAGTTTGGCCTGTTAGGCCTGATTTTGGCCTCTTTGGCCTTTCGAGGGAAAACAATAGAAATGAGGAGGAGGTGGAGAGGGTGGAGGAGAAGGAAGAGGAGAGAAAACAATAGAAATGTGGCGGTGGTGGTGGTGGAGAGAAAACAATAGAAATGTGGTGGTGGTGGTGGTGGAGGGAAAACAATAGAAATGTGGCGGTGGTGGTGGTGGTGGTGGAGGGAAAACAATAGAAATGTGGCGGTGGTGGTGGAGGGAAAACAATAGAAATGTGGCGGTGGTGGTAGTGGAGAGAAAACAATAGAAATGTGGCGGTGGTGGTGGTGGAGGGAAAACAATAGAAATGTGGCGGTGGTGGTGGTGGAGAGAAAACAATAGAAATGTGGCGGTGGTGGTGGTGGAGAGAAAACAATAGAACTGTGGTGGCGGTAGGAAAACAATAGAAATGTGGCGGTGGTGGTATATAGTTTCACTATTTACGAAGCAGTGTTAAAAAAAAAAGTTGAGTGTAGGGTCGATGTGGGGTCGATGAGTGGTCGATGTAGGGTCGATGTGGGCTCGATGTGGGGTTGATGTAGAGTCGCTAGGAGGTCGATGTTTTTGTGGATGGAAAAATATATAGAATAAATGAGGAGGTGGAGGTGGAGGAGGGGAATAAAAAACATTGAGGAGGGACTGATAATAAAAAAATGGTGGAGGAGGGAAAATAATAGAATTGTGGAAAAGGAAAAAAAAATTCAGGAGGGAAATAAAATTGAAAAGGGAGAGGGATAGGTAAAACATTGTGCGCAGTGTAAAAACAAAAGGATGGTTTGCTTTCTTTTGACTATTTTAATAGATTTCTTTCAAATCGCTGTGTATTTGACTATTTTTGTTTCAAATCGGTATCTCGTGTCTGGTTTTATTGCTAGCAATTATGAGTCGCGTGTTTTAATTGATCCTTGTTAAGTTATTTGTTTTACAATAATACGTCTAGGTTGCTCCCTTGAGGTTTTTCCTGTAGAGCTAATTTGTATTCAACTTTGGGCTTGTGAACTCGAATAATTAACTGATTAACCGTGCGTGAAAATGACAAGACTTTCATTTCCCCGAGATAGATGGGAGAAAACGGTTCTGTAATAGTCAGACAAACTTGAAATAAAGCGTTTTCAGTTCCCCTTTGCGTATATGTGCGTGTGTTTTGTTTATATGTCTGAGGTTTAGCGCTAAATAAGATATAGCAAGCCGTTTCTTGCGTTGCTAGGTGATCGCTCCTATTTTCCTTTTAATAGACGGTCCGAAAACCGGGCTCAAGTTACTTAACGGGCAAGTCTAGGCAAGCCTATGGCTCCTATTGTAGTAGAGTGACGCTTATTAGTAAACCTATACCGAATTAGTATGCAGGAAGACACTGACTAGGCACTTAATTGATATGAAGGACTGCATTTTTTCTCTTGGTTATAACAATGGGGGACGTCATAGACTCGACCCATATGCCTATTAATTAAGGGAACGCACACCGAACGCAAAGGGAACGCACCAAAGGGGGTTAATTTCCAACATAGTCCACTACTTGTATGGATGTAAGATTTTTAAATTTAAAATAGGGACTTTACGATCCGACGAGGCGATGGCAGCAAAAACGTCACTTAAAAAGTGAATTTACGTTCTTTCAGCCTTCATTGCGATTATTCCTACCCATTTTCTTTATCAAAAGTAAGCGAATACTCTTGGCGCTGAATTCCTAGGATCCCTTTCCAAGTTCCAAAAGAGAAATAAATTTTGGTCGTTCCTTGTTTACGTCCTCAAAAAAAAGAAATGTAGAAAAAAGTGTGATGCACGTGCAAAGTTGTTGTTTTGCCTTGTAAACCTATTGCTTTTTTGAGGACGTCCTCGTTGTCATAGCGTCATCTGAGCGTAAGGTACCTAATAACTAACATGGCGGACTTACTTGAGGGAACATTCCTCTTGCTGGCTTCAGTGAAGAAGAGATATAGAAAAATTGACCGTTGCTCAACTAACGTTTTGGTTAAAATGCCGCCGTATAAATCAAAATGGTAATAAGAAAGAACTGTTGGAAAGGTAGGTGTACATCATCAGGCTTTGCGCGATCGATCAGCTGTTTATGCTGTTTATTCTCAACTACAAGATTACATAGAAGTTTAGACACATGTTTTCATGAAATTTTCTTCTCAGGGTTAAGAACCTGCAAACAATAAAAATCTAAAAATATATGACAATGACCCAGAGAGGCTCTTAACTATGTAAAGCAAAGGTAGTGAGACAGATTGAAGAACTGAGGGAAAATGGGGAAACGGCGTGTGATGATCCAAATCATTCTAGATACAGATTATCTTGTAGAAAGAAATTGGTATGGTTTTTGCGCTGTTTTTGTTAAAAAACGGTTATAGACTTTGCCCATTTTGGTCTGGAATCGGGTATAGTTCTCGAGGGAGCTACGGTGGTGTATTTTCGATGATTTTATCTTTCTTTTTTGACTCTGAGCCTTAAAAGAGACCTCTTAGGCGGGCCAAATTGTCATCTCCACGTAGCAACTGATGATTCTTGAGAGCATCAGACTTGCGTACGATGTAAAGGCGACAAATTTGAAATACACGTGTTCTTTAAATATACCTGAATGCAATATCTTGTTCAGTTTTACCGATCCAATCGTGTTCCTCTTTTGCTCTTTTACATTTTCAAGGAGTAATAGGTCAATAAATTTGGAGTCGATTCTTTTGGTCGCCTGTTAATTACCAACATAGTCTGATAGTGTGAGATATCGATCTAATTTCATAAAAAGTAATTGTTTTTTGTTTTTATAATGTATACCACGTACCTAAACTAAAAGTGATAGCCGTGTAAGTTGCATTAAACCCTGAGTATTGACTGCTCAGAGACGTGAATATGACTTGAACGGAATTCCCCACTGAGTGCACTGGATCTGGAAGTTGTTGACCGCACAGTATGAACGATTGATACCCATCATCTGAAGTAAAATTTGTGACTGTAACACGGGCTCCTGGAGCATTATAATAGCAGGGACTGTACTGATATGGCTCCAATCGAAAGAAGAGGAAGCTGAGTTTAATTATGTACCCGCTGGGAACTGTGATATTCCAGGTACACATGCTGTATTGAGGATAGTTATTTGGAAAATTTGGAGTTGAAAAGAATCCACTAAATCCATTAAGGTATTCGCCAGAGGTACAAGCTGCAACAAGAGAAAATAAACTGTGATTTAGCTTTATAATACACAATCAAAGAGTAATCTGTCTGAAACAAAAAAAAAGACAAAGCAAAACAAAAAACCAAATCGAAAGCTTTGTAATAGATACTTATAAAAAGAATAGGAGATTTTCAACCAAACACTTTTAACACGATGCGAATGAAAATTGTTGGCATTTGATCGGCATTTTACTGTGGAATGTTTTCCTCCGTAAAGTATTTGAATATTACAGTTACGTACTATAATCCTGTTATAAGGCCACAATATTTCATATAACTTGGTTGAAAGTTGATCACCTGATCGCTTGCACATAACCCTTTAACTTTGCGTTTAAAGCCGATTTCTAATAACTTACCGGTGGTTGGTGCATTATAATTCACTTTAATGTAAGTTGCCTTAAATCCCCGGTAGTACCCAGAAGCACCACTATCAGAAACAAATGTCAACCTCAGGACATCTTTTGCGGAATGGTATACTATCCCACGGTCTTCATAGTATCTACATCTTCGCCTGCCTGAAATACCATCAGAGGAAGAGCCATTTTGTATTTCCAGATAATCACACGTGCAAGATGAACCACAGTCCCGAATATAAAGGTCTTCAATGACAAACACAATCCGTTGTCCTTTACTTGCTATAATTTTCCAGCTGCATTTCTCGTTGGAAGGGTAACGCCTTGGATAGTAAGGACTGGTAAGAATTCCTGATGTCTCATTCAGGGTTGCCATATTGGGACAGACAGCAGGCAATATAAATGGACTGAGCGTAAGTATCGAGGACGATTAGAATTATACCACTTTCAAGAAAGAAGCTAGCTAACGTGGGAAGGGAAGGAATAAGAACAAAACCAAATGCGGGAAGGAAGAACTGTAATAACTTTGGGATGCGCCAGAAGCTTTTTTTGGTTTGTGGCTGGAATAACTTTTTTCAATTATCGAGATTATATTGAGAACAAGTCACAAACAGTTGATTGCCTTCCTACGATGTTTTTAAGAGTCCGTTCGGTGACTCAAACGAACATGTTAGTGGGTATTAAGCGCCTGCGCTTTATTTAATATGGAGATTTGTTCTGTCGTTCAGGTTGACTTTCTTTGTTATGAAAGCCCATGTGAAAAACAGCTACATCAGGAAAACTCACGGACGACGCAACTTTAACTAATATATATGAGAAAAATGTTTGTAAAAAATATTATAGTTATTACTTTGGTACAAGCATCCTTGGAGACCCAGGGGCGGTCAGTTGAGTCACGAAAAACGACGGCGAAAGTTTTTAAGAATGGGCGAGAGTGCCGCAGGGATGCTACTCTTAACGAACCAGTTTCACGACTTATTGGAATAATTGTCTGTGATTTGGTACAAAAAATAATTTGGTGCCCAACAAGAAGCCAGTATCTATCGCGTTGCTTTCGCGATTTTCTTATACGAGGAAGGTTAACCGCAAACTAGATTGTTCGCCGTACATGTTCGGCTCTTGCCGGAGAGCTTTCTTCAGCGAAAATGGAACCCACAAAGCCAAAGAAATTTTATAATACTCCGATTCCAGAAAAAAAACGGAAGTTGCATGGAAGTGAGGCTTAATGACCTTGGCGGCAAATTTAAAATAACTAACAGGGCCGTACCGGCTAAAGATTGACCTTGGTTTTGGCGATCAAATTTTGAGCTGTTCAGTTAACAGATCATATCCTAAACGCACGAATGTTCAACTGGTCGAAAATTCGTCTGGTGCCGTGTGAACGAAGCATAAGTTTGCATCTAGAGCTCGTCCCCAGAAATTTTCTCCTTCAATTAAAAGTTTTTATTACAATTCTCTCAATTTTTCCACAAAACGCTTTGAGAACCCTCCTTGCTATCGAGCATTGTATTCTTTCAGAGCCAGATGGCGTAAAAATCTGACTCTGCTGCCTGAAGAAATAACACCAGAAAAAATTAGCCAAATCAGTTCAACGAAAAGAAGCTTAATTTGTTGTAATACTAAGCCAAATTATCATGTCTAGGTGCAGATTATCTTCTTGTAGAAAGAAATTGAGCACGGATTGTTACTCCGCCTGGTTAAGACGCTGTTAACCTCCAGTAAACGAGCAATAAACCACAAGGGATCTCTTCTGACCATAATGGGCTTGCTAAAGAACTGTCAAATGGACCTTATGGCGTTGTGACGTCATTACTAATACTTCCCTGAAAATGGTTAGCATAAATAAAACAAGTTTTCCGCGCATTTATTCATGAGCTGTTTATTAAATTCTGCTGCCCTTTTGATGCCCAAAAATTCTGCTAATTCTCCTCAGACACCACTACTCTGAGGTTTTTACATCTTCCTTTTTGGCAGAGCAGCGAGTTAATTGCCTGGAATTCGCAAGTTCGAATACTTGTTATTCCATGTTGTTAAAATTAAATTTCTTCATATAATCTGAGTGGAGTGGTACGTACAGCCAACATAGAGTGGTCGAGCGTCGAGTGGTCGCTTACAAGGGGTTCAAAAACAATGGAAAACTATTAAATGAAAAGGTGGTCGCGGTCACTTATAGGAGGTGGTCCTTTTAGAGAGGTTCCAATTATAGGGCTCTGACTGGGAAACTTTTGGTAGTTTGGATACATGGTCGGTTAGAGGAGGATGTCGAGATGGTTTCACGTGAAGGTTTGACTGTCATGTTCGTTGTATCTCAATGAAATCATCTCAAAAATAACGTACCTGACTGTTGTGAAACCACTGTTGAAGATAAAAGCAGCATAGAAGATGGTGAAGGTGTTTCAGGCGTACTTTTATCTATTGCCAAAGTGGTGTTCATTACAACAGATGACAAATGACCTCGTGGTAAACTGCTCAGAGAAATAGCTGACGATAACACAATTAAGGAAGACACCGAGGGCAGTGCGGATGTACTTTGTTCTGTGATCAGATTCGAGCTCATTGTGGCGACAGATGATGAGTAACTTCTGGATAGAGCGCTTGAAGGAACAACTGATGTTGACACAAGAACTGATGACGTCGACACCAGCACAGACGAGACCAACGTTAAGGGGGTTTTAGTTGGCTTGTGTGCCATGCCAGCGCTCAGTACCCCAAATGGCGAACTACTTATAGCCAAAGTACTTGATTGAAAATCTTTTGAGGATGACATCGACAGAGAAGACGATGAAGGTACAGCGGCTGTATTTTGGCTTGCCTCATTTGAATTCACTGCTGCATCCAACAGACCCCTCGACTTGCTGTTTGTATGATCTGATGATAACACTGAGGCAGATGTCATCAACACAAAGGTAGCTGTTATCAAAGACAATACACGTAATTTTTGATACTGTTTGTATGTAAGTGCAGTGGCGGATGAGACCTTCAAATAAGAGAGGGGGGCGGTCATCCATACCCTAAGATAATGGAGGAGCCCGGACTCAACAATTTTTTTTTTCTGCCCTTCGGACCTCAGTTTGGTCTAAAAGTAAGGGAGGCCCTTCCCCTGGATCCACCACTGACTGATGTCGGTCTTGAGAGTAGTTGATTGTACACGAAAACTGTTGTCCGTAAAAGTAGAGACACTTGAACAAAAAGTTTCTGTGCGAGTTGATTCCCTATCTTTACAACTGTTATTAGACCCTATAAACGAAAGAAGGTTACTACGGCACTAGCTTTCGGTAACTCTACGTTGTCATCAATTCTCTTGTTTATTCTTGTCTTGTCTTGTCTTAGGACACCCAGCGACTGTTTGGAGAAGCAAAAATTGTCTGGACATTTCTATAACTTGAAGACGACTAAAAATATCTAGATGACCGTTCCAATAACGTACAATTTTCGAAGCTTACCTAGTAAATCCCCTACAATTTTCTGATGGGTGACTTTAACTTAAATCTAATGAACCACCAATGTCATTCCGTTACTGGTGAATTTTTAGATGCGCTATATTCAAATATGTTCTTTCCATTGATTACGCGCCCTACAAGAATAACTTGTCATTCGGCAACTTTAATTGACAACATTTTCGTCAACCAATTTTTCGATAGATCCAGGAGTGGACTGTTTTTCACTGATATTTCTGACCATCTGCCTATATGTTCTATTCATTTCGACACCTCAATCTCAGCATCTAATGAAACTGTTTTTGTTCGAGATGTAAATCAAGTCAACGCAACTAAGTTTCTATCGCACTAGGAGAGAATTGACTGGTCTCAGTGTGCCACTCTTGATGATCCAAATAACGCCTATAACAGCTTTTTCAAACAATACTCTACGGCATATGACTCATGTTTTCCTTTAAAAAAAACTAAGGCGAGCAATTACCGTTTGAGAAAGCCTTGGTTATCGAAAGGACTTCTGAAGTCGATAAGAACGAAAAATAAGTTATATAGACAGTATCTCACTAATCAATCTTTGCATTATGAAATTCGTTATAAAAATTACAAAAACAAATTGAATCACTCATTAAGAATCGCTAAACGTATATATTACGAAAAGAAAATCGATGCTTCTAAATCAAATGCCAAAGCTACATCGAGAGTTCTAAACGAAATTATTAAGACAAAAAAGAATGCGTTTAAAATCAATTCCATCTTTAAAGTTGACAACCAAGAAATTACGGACCCAGTAAACATCGCTAATAGATTCTGTAGTTATTTTTCTAATATCGGACCTAATCTAGCCAAAGAAATTCACTCGTCTGTCTCTCACCGCAGTTTTCTCTCTGGTCACTTTTGTCAATCGGTGTTTTTTGATCCAGTGACTCCAAATGAGCTATTGGAAGTTTCCAATGCTTTTCGACCAGGTAAGGCAGCTGGCCATGATAGAATTCCCATTTCCATCATAAAAAAGTCAATTCAAATTATAGCCGTTCCTTTAGCTCATATAATCAATTTATCTATCTCTCATGGCATTGTTCCCGACCATATGAAAATTGCTCGCGTGATACCACTCTTTAAAGCCGGTGTTCGATCACTCTTTACGAACTATAGACCGATCTCGATTCTCCCTAGCTTTTCTAAGTTTCTTGAAAAGGTTGTTTATAACCGTCTTTATAATTATTTATGTAAACTAGAAATTCTATGTGATAATCAATTTGGCTTCAGGAAAAATCATTCAACTTCGTTAGCATTGATTGACCTATATGAAAAAATCTCCCTTGCTCTTGATCGCAATGAACATGCCGTTGGCGTTTTCCTTGATCTTTCTAAGGCCTTTGATACCGTCGATCATAATATTCTGCTTGACAAACTCGAACACTATGGTATACGTGGCGTGGCTCTAGACTGGGTTAGAAGCTACCTCTCCAACAGGTTGCAATTCGTTCAATTTAACGGTCAAAGCTCCTCTCCTCAAACTATCTTCTGTGGTGTCCCCCAGGGATCTATTTTGGGCCCCTTGTTTTTCTTGCTCTATATTAATGATTTAAATAATGTATCGACGCTCGTCGAGCTGATTTTATTCGCTGATGATACTAATTTATTTATGTCCCATAAAGATCCTTTCTACCTGGCAGCCTCACTCAATTCCGAACTTAATAAATTATCCACTTGGTTTAAGGCAAACAAACTCTCCTTAAACCTAAAGAAAACAAACTTTATGTTATTTAAGCCTAGACAGAAAAGGTATCATTTTCCAATGCAAGTATGCATAAACGAACAGAGAATCGAACAGGTTAAGGAAACGGTCTTCCTCGGTGTAGTCCTTGATGAACATCTGTCTTGGAAACCGCACATTTCTCAAGTAGCTCGTAAAATCTCGAAATCAATAGGTGTCATTAATAGAGCAAGATTTTTTCTACCTAAACCGTGTTTAAAAACTCTTTATTATTGTTTAGTTTATCCTTATCTTCATTACTGTATTATTGTCTGGGGATCTACGTACAAAACCAATCTTCGCCGTCTTGTCTCATTGCAAAAGCGAGTTATCAGAATTATTTCTAAATCAACTTTCGATTCTCATTCAGACCCTATTTTCAAAGAATTAGAGCTACTAAAACTTTCCGATATTAGACAGCTAGAATTAGGTAAACTTATGTTTTCTCTTAACCATTCTCTTTTGCCTTCAAAGTTCAACAATTATTTTTCTTTAAACAAACAAGTCCATAACTATGCCACTAGACACGCGAACGATTTTCACCTTCCTTCTTGTAGAACAAACCTTCGTAAATTTTCTATCAGTTTCCAAGGACCTACTTATTATAACACTATAGAAAATGATATTAAAGAATCTAATTCTCTCCACTTATTCAAAACGAAATTGAAAAAAAAATTATATATGAATTATTAGTTATAAATCTTGTAGTAAATAGTTATATTTCTTCCATGTCTGATATTATTTTTATACTTATTGTTACTTGTACCATGCCTTACATTTTGTCAACTCAGTCTATGTAATTAGTTAATGTATACTTACCTTCATTGTATTTTGCTTTCGATCCTGGCCTTACCGTTACTGTTAACTTTATTTTTACTCTGAGGGAGCCCAATGTCTATAAGCCTCATGGTTTCTTTTTGGGCTTCCTCGCCACTTTCATTTGCTTTTGTGTAACTGTCTTGTTTTTTCGTTATTTGTATTTTGTGGTAAATCAAATAAAGTTACAAAGAAATTAATTTTTCGCATTCAACTCCCCAGGTTAAGTTATTTTTCGTAGAAAAAGGAAACCTAAGGTTTTCGGATTCGAAAATGTGATGGAGAGAGGAACCAGTAAAAATCTCACTTTCGTAAAACTTTAAACTGCATCTCAGATTTTCTGGAAACTGAACCCTGAAGTCCTTGTAATTTCGAGAAGACTCAGATTGCCTTAGAATGACCAGGTAGATTCATAGCGTCTCTCAAAATGCATTTCTATAGAGTTATTAAAGTACTCTGGATAGCCTAAAAAGTGTTTTAAGAGCGGATGTCTGTAAATATCGACCGGAGGTGGAAAAAATATATTTTTGAAAAATCCCAAAAAAAATCATGTAGACTACCCTAGGTATTCTAGTTATGAAAATACAAATTTTAGCTTCATTGGATAAATATTTTGGCGATACGGCGAATGCCAATTTCGGGCGATTGAGGGCAACCGCCAGACCGCTTTTAGGGGCCTGTAGACCGGGCTACGAAAAGACCACGATTTCAATCGAATTCAAATATCACTCAACCCAAAAAGCTTCTTATCGTATGAAACGAGTTTTAATACACATTTTGAGTGGTTATGTTCTCGAATTGATTGCAACTGGAATATTTTATGAATTTTTAAATAAATACAAAATTTTAAGGATTTTACGCGAGCAAAATATTGTCAAATTTCAAAGGCCTAAAATCACATCTGATACATGATTTCAAACAGAAAAAGACATTCCTCGTTAAAAAGCAATCTCTATGCTTTCAAAGTATGCTTTCAAAACTCTGGGCAACATATGAAATGAATTTTTGGGAACGCAAAGTTCACGGCGCTTTTAAGTGTAATTTGACCTTTCTGACTTGACAGATAAGAGGTTCGGCGCGACACAAATCAATCCTCTAACAAATGTTTCAGCCAAAATATATTCAATCTAAGCAATCTCAAGTCCCACAGTGATACATAGATGTTTCATATGCATTAGGTGGAATGTTTCATACTATTTTGTCAGCTGTGAATGAAGAACTCTCCTGTCCTTGAGGTGCATTCTTTGAACCCGCCTCGCCAATATAAACATTTGGGTCAAGTTCCGATCACCAAACAGCGAAGTTTTCAAAATGTACACCAAATATCTATCCTTTCTAGTATATAATCAGGTCTACAATTTATTTTCTGTTCCTTGTGTCCTTGTTTGACTTCATTTCTGCAATGAAACTGAGACAAACCACTGCAAAATTCCCGCTCGCTCGACATGACATGTGTCACGTTAAGACTGGATTGCGTTACGTAAACATGACAGACAGCGATTATTTCTGATTTGCGTGGAAAAAAAAAAAATTCCAACTCTAAACTACATGTTATAGGTATGCCATTGCATGAGCAATCTCCATTGTTTTCCAATGCAGTTTTTCCATTACAGAATTCCTGGATTCCCGACGAAACTAAAAAAATCCTAGGACCGAAAATTAACCCCCCTCCTCGCCCCCCAACCAAATTTCCAAGCCCTAATTTTTTTGTGTGTGTGAAGGATAAAATGATATGGCACGCCAAAAAATGGAAAGTAACTGTCTGTGGTTCGTTTATTCATCGTACCATCTGCCGAATTTATCTTTTCTCATCTGACAGTCTGAACTGCGAGGCCAGCATTGTACGCGCCGTACTCCACCAATTCCTACTTAAATCAAGGTATCACAAAACTTCCATATATAAATTATATTTGCTAAATTTTCCTATCGCCAAAGAAATCCCCTGATGAAAAATTTCAAAACAAAAAAGAAATAGCTTTATCATATTGGTGACTTTAACTCTCCCCTCCCCCTCCAACCCCCGCCTTAAGCAGGGCATAGAGTCAAATATTTTTGTTTGCGCTGTTCTTTTTGGTAGTTGGTAGTAGTAGTTCGACACTTCTCCCCCTTCCTCTATTTGTCTTGGTTTCTGTCAGCTTTGAAATATCCTAATGTGTTGTGCAATTCTATTGCAATATGCTGCCTTTAAAGCTAGTATAAAGCACAAGTAAGGACGTCCCAGCACGGTAACAATAGCGCTTGTGGCGTCGATATTTATGGAATCTTGGACCGTCTTGTTTTACTACGTTTACTCTAGTGCTGAAAATAAGGAAGCATCATTGCCAGCTAGTACAATTCTGCTTGCTTATGTGCGGCGATACAGCGTACAAAAATGAAGCGTTGGGAGGGTGAATGGGGTGACCAGTGTGGTTCAAGTAATAAATAACCCAGCACACAGTAGGTGAGGATAGGAGAGATCGAGCAATTGATCGGCTGAGCGCAACTTTACAGTCAGTTCTGCAGCATGGCATATGACTGGCATCTGCCTAGAAGACTACATGCAGTGATCCCTAGGGAGAAGGGCGTGTGCAGTCGTCAAGCTGCAAAAGTCCAGGTGCACGTTGGTTCGCCGCATTGTCAAAGGGGCCATAATGCAGTTTGCGCATTGACGAACTTATCATGCTTGGAACTCTGCGTAGGTGCCTGCTCTTGAACATCTTCGAACCTATTACAGAAGGACCAGTGTAATACAATTGAACACTCGTCCCCCGCCCCTGGTCCGTTCTCGGCAGATTCATTCTGTGCTAACGTTTTAGAGCAGGTCCCCAATCATAGACTGCGTAAGAGGCGCCATTTTTGGGGGCGAGCGGGGGGCGGCGGGGGGAGGGGGGGTCAAAAGAAGAAATGTCGAAGACGCATGTTCCCCCCGCGTGGCCTAGCATGCTACGCCGGGCTAAGCCAAACAGCGCCGGCTTTATAAATTGACGGTGTGCTCATTTTACCTTATGACTAAGCTTAAAGTGAGATTTAAAACGTACCTAGCCTGCCGGCGGTGTTGCACCCCGATTCGCACCTGACTCTGTGCTCGTGTATTTGGTACTTGTACCAAACTCGCCTAAAATCCCCACGCTGTAAATATCGTCGCAAGAGCAAGATACAAGGGTAGTACGATTTTCTAACTCGTGCTTTTGTTACTTGTAATTATAAGCTTTTTGTACATGATGGGCCATATTATATAGCGTGTTGCAGAATTACTGCGAAACGCATTAGGTTTTTTCCTAATTTATCGGTCAAATCGAAGCTTTCAATGCCCCGGGCATACCCCGGGCATTTGACACCTTTGCCGTCCCGGGGAGGAGGGAATTTGATTATCAGAGTCTTCCAGGGGGTGGGGAATTTGAACTGCACCCTCGATTTCATGTAAAATCTTTGGCGTGGCGAGCTATCATGGGGGACGCGGTGTTAGAGGATTTTCGTGGAAAAGATTGTGCCTTTGTGGCCAATTGGTTACGAGGAAAGGGCTTAAACAAGCTTTGTGCCGTATTTGAAATATTTAAATTTTAAAAATTTTAAAAATTTTAATATTGGATTCAGGCTTTGAATGTGTGAAAGTATTTTATTGTTGTGTTTACAATGAAATACAATACCTATACTGGCGATTCAATACAACAACATAAAATAAAATAAAATAAAATAAAAAGCCCAGGTCAACTACTTTGACAACTGTTAATTAATAAGGTGAGCGATGATGCATGTCAGTGAAATGGTCATGATGTAGTAATCTCAATGGGTGGGATCTTTTTTTATATAACGCTTTGTATGTTGCATGACGAAGAAAAGCTGAGCATTCAGTGACCTTGTAGCAGCAATTTCCGCCGCTTTGCACGAGACTTTTGTTCTTAGTAAATACGCTAACAGTTTTTCTCAGTTTTTGTTATATTCATAAAGATTTTGTTCGACAACTGAAGGCGTTTCCGCCGTCCCTCTGTCATTTTTGTGCCTGTGAAATGTCCCCGGGGTGGGGGCATTTGATCACCTGAATGGACCCTAGTGTGGGGCATTTGAACGGCATTTTGGCCCGGGTAGGAGGGAATTTGAACAATAATTTTCAAAAAAGTCAAATGCCCCGGGGGTTGCCCGAGGGGGGGCATGTTGAAGCTTCGATTTGACCGATACATAAGCTGACAGATCTATCAGGACGGGGAAAAAGTGTTGAACCAAAACAAACAAGACGTTATTTGCATTTCGCGGTTAATAGACACGCTCGGAATCACAAGCTTGCGATCGGTAAAACTGCATCGTAAGAAAAAAAATTGAGATTATCTGCTCATTCAATGGCATACCTATAACATGTAGGTTACAGATGGAATTTTTTTTTTCGCACAAATCAGAAATAATCGCTGTGTGTCATGTTTTTGTAACGCAATCGAGTCTAAAACGGCTCTTTCACGTGACACGTGTCATGTCGAGCGAGGGGGAATTTCGCAGTGGTTTGTCTCGGTTTCATCGCAGAAATGGAGTCAAACAAGGACACAAGGTACAAAAAATAAATTGTAGACCTGATTATATACTAGAAAAGATAGATATTTGGTGTAGATTTTGAGAACTTCGCTGTTTCGTGATCAGAACTTGACCCAAATGTTTACATTGGCGAAACTAGTTCAAAGAATGCACCTCATTCACAGGTGGCAAAATGGTATGAAACGTTCCTCCTAACATATATGAAGCGTCTATGTATCACTGTGGGACTTGAGATTGCTTAAATTGATTGTATTTTGGCTGAAACATTTGTTGGAGGATTGATTTGTGTGGCGCCGAAACTCTTATCTGTCAAGTCAGAAAGGTCAAATTACACTTAAAAGCGCCGTGAACTTTGCGTTCCCAAAAATTCATTTCATATGTTGCCCAGAGGTTTGAAATAATATTTTGAAAGCTTAGAGATTGCTTTTTAACGTGGAGTGTCTTTTTCTGTTTGAAATCATGTATCGGATGTGATTTTAGGCCTTTGAAATTTGACAGTATTTTGCTCGCGTAAAATCCTTAAAATTTTGTATTTATTTAAAAATTCTTAAAATAATCCAGTTGCAATCAATTCGAGAACATAACCACTCAAAATGTGTATTAAAACGCGTTTAATATGATAAGAAACTTTTTGGGTTGAATAATATTTGAATTCGATTGAAATCGTGGTCTTTTCTTAGCCCGGTTTAAGGCCCGAAAAAGCGGTCTGGCGGAGGCCGTCAATCGCCCGAAATTGGCATTCGCCATATCGCCAAAATATTTATCTGATGAAACTAAAATTTATATTTTCATAACTAGAATACCTAGGGTAGTCTACATGATTTTTTGGGGATTTTCCAAAAATTTTATTTTTCCCATCTCTGGTCGATATTTACAGACATCCGCTCTAAAGAGGCCCTGCGCCTAGGAAACGACCGATGATTTCCGGCTAAAAAATAAAATCGGCCGATTTTTATCTCCCAAGTAGAGGTTATCGAATACTATTAAAAAATGACTTTCTTTGTTTCAGTTTCGCTTTAAACCAAAAATATCGAGCCGCAAACTTTTTCCGTCTGATAGCAGCAAAATCAGGCCTAAAATAAGCCCTCGCAAAAAACGGTTCAGAAATCACTATCGCAAAGCAAAATAATGAGAAAACTACACAGTGATGAAGAAAAAGGCCGTTTAATGCAATATCATTCGATGAACATCGAAAAACAGCCGAAGTGAATAAAAAATAAATTTTCAAATATTGCATACTAAATTAGATAGAGCGCTGGAGCTGATTTTAAAATAGTTATTTCTCAAAAGTCCAACGCTGTTCAAAGCAATCACAGTGATGAATCAGACATTGGAGGGATATACATTACGATTCTGGAAAAACATTTTTCGGCCAAAGTATATTGACGTTGTACAAAGCGTTCAAAGTTACCGTGTTTACCGTTATCTTTCTACTTCGGCGAAACACTTCTCAGTTGCCAATACGGCCGTGATAGCGTGGTAAACGCCACTTTAATCCTTGCTAGGCACTCAGAGACCATCCTAAGCAGAAGGACGTAGAATTAAAAGAGAAAGGAAGATGAAAAATGGGCAGAAAAAGAAAATAACTCAAAATTACCATCTGCTGACGAAACTTGAATCTGGAAAATGTCGTCGCGTGACAGCCGCCATTGACATCATTTGTCTAAACCGCGGCGGAATCTAAACGAATGCACAAATAGGAAAACAACTGTTTCCCGGCCAGAAAGCGTTTAGTGAAACAATGTGATCGATGTTATTTTTTCACAAGCGATGATGACTTAAAAATAAAAAATTCCCGAACCGCCGCACAGTTTTGGCCTCAGCGTGATCTGAGCGTTGTGGGATCACGAGTCGACGCTTCTGGCCAGCGGTCTATTGAAAGATATCTGCATGACTCGATGTTTTTTTTTGTTGAGCGAGAATCATTCATGTCAATGTCCAGTGTCTTCCCTCAAGGAAAAAAAAGAGATGTTAGAGTACTGTCGCTCCCCAGAACGAGAAACATCTTGGTCGCGAAAACTGAGTTTATTACCCTCAAGAATTACGTTTTTTCTTTCTCAAAGCACTAGTATCTGGCACTATAAAATGTAGCTAACAGATTCAATTCTTAGCAAGCTTTAGCACACTGATTAGCCCCGCGTTTAGTATTTTCTTGGACATCAAAATATAGGGGGTGACGCTATTCAGTGGAATGGCGGACTGACGGAATGACGGAACGGAATGGCGGAATACACGGAATATTCTAAAATATGGAATATATGGAATACTATAAAACGCAGAATAAGAGACAAATAGTTTAAAAAGGATATACATGTAAACAGTCGACTCCAATAACTCCAACCCTCGCTACCGACTCGAACCTCGCGCTAACTCGATTTAATACTAATTTTTGTTTCTCTTCAGATCATTTCTATATGATTTTACCCTCAATAACTCGAAATATTTATTTAAAAACGAACAATCTTTGAAACTGTAACAGTAACGAATACTGCCGGCGGTGAATGCTCAGTTAACGTGAGGAACTTACCTTGAAACTTGTTGGACATTTGCCGATGGAACTTTCCTTCCTTATATGTAACTTTTCTTTAAAAAGCTCGCAGTGAGAACAAAGTGCAAGTCAATTAAGGAAATGGATCAAGGAGACTGGAAAACGGACGTGTTGTCCCTCGATCCTTCCTCACCAGAACAACCAGCCGAGCAATCGCCACAAAATTGGAAGAAGAGATCATTCCTTTGAAGACTTTATGCACTCACATGGACATAAAGACCACTGTTTTTGTAATGTGGAAATGCCGCTCATTTGTGAGCTATTAAATGAAGACATGAGTACGCACCCGTACTCTTATATAATAGGGACCTTAAGATCCGACGACGGCGACGGCTACGGGAACGCCACAAAAGCAAAAAGTTTAATTAGCAAAACAACAATTTTGCACGTGCATCACGCTTTTTTGTACGTTTCTTTGCCGTCACTGCACGACTACGACGGGAAAATGCTTAATTTCACGATGTACAGAGGAAGTACACAAGCGACGACGAGATTTCCTCTCTCTTTTTGAACTTGGATATGGTTCTTAGGAATTCAACTTTAGGAGGGGTTGCCTACATTTGACAAAGTTAGTGACTTAGAGTAATCGCGATGAAGATTGAAAGAACGCGAATTCATTTTTTCAGCGACGTTTTCACTGCCTTCACCATCCTCGGATCTTAAGGTCCCTAATATTTGAATGGGAGCGCTTATTAACAAAACACATTTGAAGGGCGCGCTTATTCGAAAGGGGGATCGCTTATTGGAAGGAGGGCGCTAAAACGAATCACTGTTTTGGAGGCCATCTTGACGGTTAAGCAACCGCGTGAAAATATACAGTGTGTATAGGTAATATATGTGTGTATATATAATATATTTGGCACAAATACCACGAGTGATATTTCAAAATTGTTATACGTAATTTCACGAGCTGTTAGGCGAGTGAAATTTGAGACAATTTTGAAATATCACGAGTGGCATTTATGCCAAATATCACGTACAAGTCATGCTATTATTTGTTTATACTGCTACCTGCAAAAGGTCTGTAATTTTCACATGTAGGTATTTCAAATTAAGCTGAAATACCACTGCTCTAAACCAATCAAATTGCAAAAATTTCTCATGTAGTAGTATAATGTGTGTAATTTTTTCTCGTTCTTGCCGACCAAAATTTCCCTGGAAAAATTGCGGACAAATGTCTGGAAAATCTAAAGCAAGCGACCGTACAAATTTTGGCACAGGTGCGACCCCATTAATTGTTAGTACAATCCTGTCAAGCTTAAGTTTACAAATCTTCTTTTTTTTAGAACAGCAGTTTTATAAAAATTATCCGACATTAGATTCCCGTGATACAAGACCCTTCACCCGTCAAGATTGCTTTCAAAACCGTCATAAGGTCTATAGTGTGGCTTACGGCAGTACGAAAATTGTTTCTTTTATATTTCAAAACAACCGAGTATTCTTTGCCTCTGCTTTTTTTGTTAGCCCAGTTCAAATCAAATACAGAATTTTCTGTATATTCCGTGTTTTAGAGTATTCCGTATTTTACAATATTCCATGTATTCCGCCATTCCCCCGAATAGGGTCACCCAATGATCGGGGAGGACGTCATAAAAAAAGACAGGAGACCGGTAGGGTTTTTAATTCGATGAAAATGGCTCACTTTTTTACAAGTTCATTTTATAAAATGCTTAATAAATTGTTTCCACAATAATATTTACGATATTTAGATAATAACCAATGCACTACGCACAACTTGTCATATAACATTGGACAGAATACCATGCACTCAAACTCTTGAGCAGGAAAGTTACAGAATGAAATTATTTTTGCTGCACTCAGTCACATTCCTTTACAAGTTCTGAAACCTTGCCTAAAAGGTCTCTTTTTAGATCTCTAGATTTGTAAGGTATTTCGAAATACCCGCAAATGCCTTTCAACATACTAACATTGAAAGATGAAAGCTTGTTGCTATGACGATATTGACAAAGATTGTAAACATCAAATATAATGTGGATGTTTTAAGCCCAAATTTTCTATCACCTCTTCAACAGCATGGAGGGGGAAATGGGGGCTTACGGTATTGCGGTATTGAGCTTTTTTTCAAGGGGTATTTCGGTAAATTGGATTTTAAAGTGCGGTATTGCGGTATCATTTACCCCTGCGGTATGCCTAATGCGGTTTTTCATTTTGGTTAACGGTATTCGGTAAAAGAAGATCCTTCACAGTATTGCGGTATTGTTCATTGCGCTCTCCTGTCTAATGCACGTCAGTATTTTTAAGACTTTAGATTAATGGTAAATGATTACCATTACACAATTTCTGACAGATAATCTATGATGAAATTGGTCGGGCATCCTTTTCGATCGTTGTACCGATCAATTCGAGGTCGTTTCACCTTTCCTCGCAATGGCTGAGGTTGATTGCTGGTGCATAAATGCTTGAGATAAACAAACACGCGAGATGGATACAACTTTAAGTAAACGTGACCGAAAATAAATGCGGTATCAGTATTTCGTCTATTTTTGACACGGTATTTCGGTATTTGCCAATTTTTCTTACGGTATTGCGGTATTGGGTACCCCCTCCAATGCCCCCCCCCTCTCTAGCATGGCGTTGCTCTCCAATTTAGGTCCGCTGACCCCTACACGCGCTGACCCGTAACGTCCGTTGGAATGTATGTAACGAAATACATGCAGCCCACATTCAAAGCACTTGGAGTCAGGCTGAATTCATCATCATTAATAGGAACAACATAAAACTATTTCACTTCACGATTTCTGGTGATAGAAAGATTGTTGTTTTACTTATATTTCACGCATTTGTTAGGATTCCGCTCCAGTTTGGGCAGATGAACGCTGTCACGCGACAACATTAGGGAGTTTAAGCAAATCGCTACGGCGACCTCTACTACGGCGGCCGGAAGTAAAAAAGCCCCAAAATGACGCAGTGCGCATGCTTGGAAATGACCTTTCTCCGTAGCGCCAAATCCTACGACGTGAAAAGCTGTCTTCTGGCGTAGTCGCTACTACGTGAGTATAAAAGTCGACTCTTCTCCTATTTTTTACGATCACTGGTTTTAAAAGCTATCATAGATTGTTTTTCACTTTATGAAGAAAGTATTCGAGGCTTCTGGTTTTCCAGTGTTTACGTTTTCCTTGCGTTTTCTCAGTTTGAGATTTCGATCCTCAAGCGAGTGTGCCATGAGTTCTGCCGCGCCAGGGCCGCAGAAAATCCGCTAGTACAAACAAAGGCTAGACGAAAACCGTAAGCACGACTGTTAGCAATAAAGCTAAATGTCACTGAAGGTTGTTTAAACAAGAATAGAATAGAATCTAAAACGCTGAATTTGTTGATTTGTTGTTAAATGCGGTACACAAGAAGAAACATCACTAGCAGCTTACTCCGATCTTCATCTGTAGTTTTCTGTTTTGTGTACGAATCGCCCTCTGATGATGTTTACTATCAATATTCTTCTTGGCAAACGAAATTTTTAAATTGGCCGTTTTCTTACTTGACCACCATTGAATTCTGTTGTTGATAAATTATAGCGAAAGCAAGTGAGCAAGAACCGAGCTTGAAATTTGGCGAGCTACGAGACGTACTCTCCCCAGGACACCGCATCCACGACCGCCGTAGTAGAGGTCGCCGTAGAGATTTGCTTAAACTCCCTATTTCCAAGGTTCAACTCTCCTTAGCAAATGGTAATTTCGAGTTATTTTCTTTTTCTGCGTATCTTTCATTTTCCTTTCTCTTTTAATTCTATATACTTCTACTTAGGATGGTCTCTGAGCGCCTAGCAAGGATTAAAGTGGCGTTTACCACGCTATCCACGGCCGTATTGGCAACAGAGAAGTGTTTCGCCGAAGTAGCAAGATAACGGTAAACACGGTAACTTTGAACGCTTTGTACAACGTCAATATACTTTGGCCGAAAAATGTTTTTCCAGAATCGTAATGTATATCCCTCCAATGTCTGATTCATCACTGTGATTGCTTTGAACAGCGTTGGACTTTTGAGAAACAATTATTTTGAAATCAGCTCCAGCGCTCTATCTAATTTAGTATGCAATATTTAAAAATTTATTTTTTATTCACTTCGGCTGTTTTTCGATGTTCATCGAATGATATTACATTAAAAGGCCTTTTTCTTCATCACTGTGTAGTTTTCTCATTATTTTGCTTTGCGATAGTGATTTCTGAACCGTTTTTTGCGAGGGCTTATTTTAGGCCTGATTTTGCTGCTATCAGACGGAAAAAGTTTGCGGCTCGATATTTTTGGTTTAAAGCGAAACTGAAACAAAAGAAATTCATTTTTGAATAGCATTCGGTAACCTCTACTTGGGAGATAAAAATCGGCCGATTTTATTTTTTAGCCGGAAATCATCGGTCGTTTCTTAGGCGCAGGGCCTCTTAAATGTTTTTAGGAGGAAACCGTCGTTGGGTGTCCCTGAACTTTCAGCATTATACCTTCGATTGCTCATGACTTACTTAAGAATGGGAACAAACCACGAGTCCATTGCATTTCATCCATACCTGAGTAGAGAACAGTTCAATAATACAAAAGACAAATTAGAATTTTTTCAAGATATGGTTCCAATATTTGTGCTGTAACTAAATTACAGAAGTTATGCAGTATGCAGGACGCGTGTCAAATATGAACCTAGTATAATGGGCCTCGCTCTCCTTGAGTTCTCCGTAGCTCAAGAGGATAGAGCGCCCGCCAGGTATTTAGGAGGTCATAGGTTCGAATCCTGTCGGGAAAGACTCAGATTTTTTCTTTGCCCCACGCTCGTGACACGCTCATGATTTCATCTTCACTTTTGTTTCACCGAGCTTTAAATCCACCATCTTTCATTCTTTCATCATACAGTACGATCTCGATTAAGTTCATCTTCGATAGTGCACGTTTAGGTTTGTCCAGCTCCGCAAATATTCTCCAAATAACAGATGTCGCCCTTCGAGTTGTCTTCTTGCTGTTCTTGCATTGTTTTTAGCTATTTTTTCGCCTAGTTCTTACGCTTGAAACGAGTGAAATGACCGCCATTTTTGTTTCCACAACCAAAAAAAAAAAAACCTCGTCCTCAGGTCTTCTCGGTTAACGGTGCCTTAACCTGCACGAACGCTGCATTTTTGACGTCATTTCCTCGTTAAACACAAAATTCTTCCATATTTGGTCATCAGTAACTGGTTATGGTGAATTAAACGTGTGCTTTTAGCCAATCAGAATCGGGGAAATATTTTGAATGAATAATAATAGGTCTTTATATATGTAATAAGAGTACGTGTGGCAGCTAACTAGCTAGTTTCGATTTATCAATATTCATACTGGGCTCCAGGGCTGATGAGCAAAAAAAAACGCAAAAGAAATTAATTATTCATCCCTGAATCTTTATGTGATTTTAATAATTAGAAAAATATTAAAATTTTAACAATTGCATTTTAATAACTTGAAACTGGCCTGTTAGGTGTGTTAACAAGGTACTTAATTTTTGATGTTTTAATAATTTAAAGAACTGAAACGGTGTAATAAAGAAACGTGTGGCCGCAAATTCTCAAATAGAAACCTTCAATTACGTTCAAGTTAAAGAGGGGGTTATGCAAAAATTACTATGCTCATAGTCATAATATTTAACAATTATTCCTCGAGCCTGAATGGGCTCTTAGTCAAAGGGTTATTGACTCAGAAGCCATGCGGGCGAGAGGAATAATTGTTTTAGTAAACTCCAATTAGTTGGTCAAAAATATCGAGAATAAAAAAAATTGAGCTAGTTAAAGCAAGATTTAAATCCTTTTTTGCTGCCAAAAAGCCCGCGCTTTTCGCTACTAGTGGGCTATAACATATAGCTCACATATAGCTCAACCAATCAGAACGCAGCATTGATAACAGAGCACGAGTTGAATTTTACTAAAATATGACAACAGCAGGCCACGTTAGCCAAAACTGAAAAGGATGTCTTTCTGAAGGGGAATACTAATTTTTTTAATCTAGGGTTGATTTAGGAAAGACCAGTATCAGAAAAGTATCTCGTTAATGGACTAATTTTTTCCGGACAAAACATGTAATAGTCTCTAGTTGTCGCGCAGCAATTTACTCATGCATGTTGGCAACGTCGCGAAAGAGCTATACGAAATATGTTACCAGCGCACACCACATAAACTTTGTTTAAGAATGCCTGTTCGGCCTTGATAATAATATTGCTTACTCATTCCTAAATCCCAGATTTTAATAAGTTTTTTCAAATTTTTTAAAAATGAAATAGTAACTCACCAAGAAGCTTAGAAAATTGATCGTAGCGTAAATCCTCTATGTCAAATCATTTGAGGCCGGTTGTCTATGATCTACTAGTTTCTAGTATAGAGTTTGGCCTTTAACCATAGACTCAATACGACAAGACCGTGGCAGTTCTATGGTCAGGAACTAGAAACGTTCATCGCAACAAACTAACCATTCAGTATTGCAAACTAGTAAGCAAGTTCATCCTTAATAGATTTGCACGATTGTTTCTAGTTTAGCCATGGTATGCTCATATTGGAAGCGTAAAATACGAAAAATAGAGTTCACTTCCTTGTGTGAGCTCAGTGGCTTCACATTCGTTGCAACTTAAATATGACGTTTCTGCTTCCCTCTAATCTGATGTATTTATACACATTAACTTGCCTTTGAGTCAAAGATATCTACTCTTACCTCCAAATCGTAGAAATCTTGGTAACTCTTGATAGTTTAAGCCTGAAAAGCTGCGCCTAAGCTTTCCTAGCGTGTTGTCGAGCAGACTTTTGAGGCCAAAATAACTCCTCAAACATCGGCTATTTAAACAGTCCACAGAGAAGAAGACAGTTTTCTTTGTCGTTGTTCATTCAGCCATTATATGCAAAGATGACAATCAGACAATATGACGACCAAAAACAAGATATAAATCTTTGATTAAAAACACAAATAGATTCGAAGGGATGGTTTTAGTAATTAACCCAATCTTAATTTTTGCCGGCCACAGCTTGTACAACTGTTGTTAGATTTAACTACCTTGACTTCAGGAGCTTATTAGACTAAATACCCCTTATGAGTTTTTGACTAAGTACAAAGAACAGACTTGATTGCTCTTTCCCTGTTTGTTTACATTTCTATAGAATAGCTGCCATCAGTGGTGGCCGTTTTCAATTGCGATCTATTAATAGACTTACTGAAGCATCCAAAAAAAGAGCGATTGAAGTAATGTCAAATAACAAGTCAGCCATACTAAATACCGTGGTTATGAGTACCATTTTCACTAGCACTCATAACTCCTACAAGTGGTTAAAATATTACTTTAATTGACAAACAACATCATTTTCCTACCAATCATAATTTTCTCACTAACCAACTCAAATATTCACAACTAAGAAACCCCCAGTGTCTTCTATAAGGTGGAAATGATGCTATAAGGGAGATTAAGATGTCGACGACGCTGACGACAATGAAAACGTCAAAAACGCAATGGGCTTAGATTAGCAAAACAACAACTTTGCCAAGTGCAGCACACGTTTTGGTGCATTTCTTTGTTGGCACTGCACCTCTACGACGTGACATTGCCAAATTTCACCCTCACATCGACAAAGCAAAATACCGACGACAAGTTTCTTTTTTGTTCAGTTTGTCGAACTTGAATATATTTATTACGAATTCAACTCCCGGAGGGTTCGTCTTCATTTGACTGACGCCTCGTCCTCACTCAAGTGTTCACCGTAACTACACCTTGCAGTAGTGCCAAAACAATTTCTAAAAAGAGTCAGTGGGACAATACAGCCATTTGAAGAACGTTTCCGATAAAATACATCTCTCGGGTGGTGCCATAGATCTCCTTATTGGCACAGACTTTTTAGAGGCCTTCACTGATATTCACACAGTGTCCGGAGAACCTGGAGAGCCCATGGGAAAAAGAAACTGCTTTGGATGGTACGTTCTGGGACAGTTCGAGTCAAACGGCTCCACCCTATCTGAAATTCACTCAATTGAAGTAGGGACAGTGAGTGTCGAAGAAGATATCAAGAAACTTCTCCACCAAGATCTCCTCGGAGTTAAACCAACCAAACTCTACTTGCACTGAAAACGTGTTACGAGAGAGCAAGTTCGTGAAGTCCATCGCAGCTTCAACTACCTTGGTCGACGGGAGAATACAAGTGAAGATGCCCTGGAAAGAAGGAGGGCCTCCAAAACGAAGCAACTACGACATCGCTCTGAAGAGGATGCTCTCCGCTCAAAGGGGGTTTATGAAAAAGGGTTGCTTCGAGGTTGTAAAAGAGGAAGTACAAAAGTTGTTGGACAAGAACTTTATTAAAAAGATTCCGCCTGAACAAATTGCCCATGATAAACCCGAGTGGTACCTCCCATTGCAAGCGGTGTTTACACCAGAAAGAACCACGAAAGTTCGACTAGTCTTTGATTCATCTTCAAAAGGTCATGATGGATTGTCCCTTAACGATTGCCTTGAGAAAGGACCTAACTTCATCAATAGTTTCGCGAGCTTTCGTGGCCACCCGCGTGTTTGTTGGTCGGACTATGGAACAAACTTTGTAGGTGCGCAAAGTTGCAAGGCTGGGACATTCCCAAGATTCACGGTGTTCTATGTGAGGAATTCTCCTGTGATTTCAAATGGTAATGGAATATACTTCACGCAAGCCATCAGAATGGCGTCGTGGAAACCCTCATCAAGTCCGTCAGACAAAGTCTCAATGCTACATGCAAGAATCAAGCCTTTACGGTGGAACAATGGAGAACATTTCTCTCGGAGACAACGTACATCATCAACGGACGCCCTGTGTTTCCAAGTTCTAACGACATCTGGGAAACTCCACCTATCACACCGAATGATATTCTTATTGGTCAGCATCTTTCACCACCTCAACCAGAACCTGAGGAGAAGATAAACCCCAGACATCTTCTGAGAAGTACGCATCATCGAGTTAACGAATTCTGGAAATGCTGGATGAGGTACTTCACGCCAAATTTATTACCACGAAACAAATGGTTCCGAACCAGAGAAAATATCCAAGTTGACGATCTAGTTTTGGAGGTGGACCCAAACCACAAAAGATCAAAGTGGAAGTTGGCAAGTGTCATTGCCACATATCCAGGAAATTATGGCTTGGTCAGAAAGGCGAGAATCAAGACCCAGGATAGTAAATATGACAGACCAATTCACAAGTTATGTCTCATAGCGACTAAAGACGAACTGAAGCTAGTCGATAGTAGAAATGGACCCTAACACCATTTTCTGACACTTCTTTATTGAACATTGAAAACTTAAGCCATCATAGTCGTTGCTCAATTAGAACTATTATTTAGACCTAATTTCCGCACTGGGGCGGAGTGATTTGCATTTTTCAAGCCGTTTGTCAATTTTTTTTGTGAATATTTAGTTATCTTAGCGCAACGCTGCAAAAAAAGATCAGGTGACTAATTATTTAAAAAGCTAGAAGTTCGTTAAGCAACTTACATTTCAAACGTGTCACCACCGATCGCACATCGAAGCTTACTAGCCGCATATGGAACACAAATTGTAAGTATAATATTCGCCCGTCGCTTCAACCGGAATCGACATGTGTAATAACCCTCTTTGTAATATTAATTTAATTTTTCAGTTGACTACTTCTTCTTGTTCTTCTATAATTACAAGTGCAAATAAATTCCATGTACGGTCATGTACGCGAAAATCAGTTAGTGGTGAAATCTTCAACATAAAGTACCCCTTCAATCACAGGAGCGAAACAGTGACTAACCTAAAGAATTTTTGTGGTGGTCAGTTTCTTTAACTTAACTCAACTGTCACTGTTAGCTTTTCATGGTTGAGACTGAAAACGCTAACAAAATCATCACGGAAGAGCGTAGTCAGGCTTCAGCCATTGCCCTATAATAACCATGATGCTGAGATCTTTAAGTAAAATTCTTCTGCCGAAACACTAACGTCATTATCATAGACAGATTGGTCAGTGCGAACACCACTGATCTTATCTTTTGGCTCCAAGGGCTCTCTCAAACTTGGTACTATCGATGTTCCGTTACTTACAGACATCTCCATGATGTCTTGTGTGGAAAAATGTGTCCTTCGAGTCATCATAGACCCTGTTTCAAAACAAAAAACAATATACTTTCATAAAGAGGTATGTTAATTTCCTCCACGCCACAAGGATTTGCTTTAGACGTTTTGTCGTATTTAAATCGAGAGTGTGATGGTGATGATAATGATGATGGTGATGACAATGGTGATGGTGATGATGACGACGGCAATGACGATGATGATGATGATGATGATCAATTTCGTACAACAAGCTTTTTTCATCTCTTTTGACTTACACTGTTATGGGAAAAATAGTTTCCACTCTCATTTAATAAATATTTAATTATCTTAGCGCAACGCGGCAAAAATAGATCAGGTGACTAATTATTTAAAAAGCTTGAAGTTCGTTGAGCAACTTACATTTCAAAAGTGTCACCATGAGAAAATGCAAGGGGTGACAGGCCGCACATCTATACCGGCGTGGAACCTTGTGTAAACCTTTCATATTTTTGCTCTAACGAGCATGTCCTTTAGGGATTTTCCTTTCTTGTAGGAAATGATACGTGGTTCTTTGAAAATTTGGCGAAGTAACGGGTTGGTTTTGTATAAGATTCCAGTTTTTCATTAAAACTTCTTTTAAAGTAGACACTGAGATCTGGTACTGTGTCACGAAAGGCAATATTTCTTTTTCCTCTTTGTTGTTGTGTTTCATGAGAGCAGACTCCCTCTCTGTGAACTTTATATCCGATAGAAGGTTTTCTATCACTGTTTGTGGGTAGCCTCTGTCAATCAAGCGTTTTATGAAATTTGAAATATTTTCCTCAAACTTAGTTTTTGAGGAGTTTGTTCGTACGATTCTCAATCGTGTCTACAAACACAGTCTCAGTGTCAGATATTTCGGCCGTGAATTGATAGTTGGGTGATGTAAGTTCGCTTGTTCGATGAAGGCTTCGATGTCTGGTTTACTGATGTCCCAGAGGGAAAAGATATCGTCAATGTAGCGTTTCCAAACTGTAGGTTTAAAAACGGTTCTACTTAGAATTGTTGTTTCAATATGTGCCATGAAAATATTGCTGAACATAAACTGTACCGAACCGTATCTTGTTCCGCTATATAGAAGCGATATCATCGTTCAAATTTTAAACTGTAAGATCCCCTGAAAGAGGTCTCCTCAATGGAGCAATATGTAAAAGGTTTCAAAGGTTTCACGTCGGTGAAGATGTGCGGCCTGTCACCTCTTGCAAGTTTTTACTTTGATGCTTTCCAGACAGTGCCCTGCTCCACCAGTGAAACAACATAAAATCACAACAAACCTGTTCACGTGCAGTACACCACTGTACAGAAAAGTCAACCTTTAAATGAAAACAAATGTAACAACACATTTCGAACTAAAAAAGAAATTGTTTGTTTTCATGAAAAATTCTATATTTGAATAAAAGGTTTGACAAAGTCCCAAAATCTATTTTTTCAACCTTTTTATAAAAATAACTCAGAGCTCTAACTTACAAATAACAAAACATTAAAGGTTAACTCAAGGTTTCACGCCGTTATACATGGGCAGTCTGTCATCCGTTACAGTTACTCACGCCATACGGTGCCATGCTGTGCTAGTAAAAAATAATCTTGTCTACATTCTGTACAGTACACAACTGTAAAGTCAACGCAAGCCTTGCTTTTAAATTGAAACGAGAATATACAACATAGTCCCTCGCCATTTTGAGGAACACTTATACATCATAAACATTTTAACAAGATGTTTTTATACTTGACAAAAAAGCAAGGCAAGAATCCTATTTTTCAAAATTTAAACC